TGAAACAGGTTTCCCTCAAGAATTTCCCTGTATTTACCACCATCTATCATTCCTTCAATTCTGACCAGTTTCCCAGTCCCTGCCGATGAAAAACATCCCCACAGCAAGATGCTGCCACCACCATGCTTCACTGTGGGGATGGTGTTCTCGGGGTGATGAGAGGTGTTGGGTTTGCGCCAGACATAGCGTTTTCCTTGATGGCCAAATAGCTCAATTTTAGTCTCATCTGACCAGAGTACCTTCTTCCATATGTTGGGGAGTCTCCCACATGCCTTTAAGCAATGCCTTTTTTCTGGTCACTCTTCCGTAAAGCCCAGCTCTGTGGAATGTACAGTTTAAAGTGGTCCTATGGACAGATACTCCAATCTCCGCTGTGGAGCTTTGCAGCTCCTTCAAGGTTATCTTTGGTCTCTTTGTTGCCTCTCTGATTAATGCCCTCCTTGCCTGGTCCGTGAGTTTTGGTGGGCGGCCCTCTCTTGGCAGGTTTGTTGTGGTGCCATATTCTTTCCATTTTTTAATAATGGATTTAATGGTGCTCCGTGGGATGTTCAAAGTTTCGATATTTTTTTATAACCCAACCCTGATCTGTACTTCTCCACAACTTTGTCCCTGACTTGCTTGGAGAGCTCCTTGGTCTTCATGACGCCGCTTGCTTGGTGGTGCCCCTTGCTTAGTGGTGTTGCAGACTCTGGGGTCTTTCAGAACAGGTGTATATATACTGAAATCATTTGACACTTAAATAAAGTCCACCTGTGTGCAATCTAACTAATCATGTGACTTCTGAAGGTAATTGGTTGCACCAGATCTTATTTAAGGGCTTCTTAGCAAAGGGGGTGAATACATATGCACGCACCACTTTTCCGTTATTTAATTTTTAGAAACAAGTTATTTTTTTCATTTCACATCACCAACACTATTTTGTGTATGTCCATTACATGAAATCCAAATAAAAATCCTTTAAATTACAGGTTGTAATGCAACAAAATAGGAAAAACGCCAAGGGAGATGAATACTTTTGCAAGGCACAGTAGCTGGGTTGATATAGCTGAATATACACTCTTTCCCAGGTGAAACAGTAGTCAGTGTCAGTAGGCACAGCAGGGGAAGGCCCCAGTGAGACCTGGGCCTCCAGTGTAACTCTATCCACAGTAGGGAGGGCTATTCTGTCTGGGGCTGGGGCTGGAGCCTGACCTGGCCTGGGTGGCTGGGGAAACAAAGGCCTCCTCAGTGTGTCTGTGTCCACACAGACCAGCCTTTATCCTCTCACCTAAGGCTACCAGATCCACCCACTCACAACAGCCCACTCACTCACGTCAACCCACTCACTCACATCCACCCACTCACTCACTCACATCCACCCACATCCACCCACTCACTCACTCACATCCACCCACTCACATCAACTAGGGATGGGCTTGAGTAATCAAGTACTTGAATGGACGTCAAAGCTCGATCTTTAATCAGAGATCACTTTTTTTCTTCTTCTTTTTTACTATAAAATTATTTGGTGGAATGTGCTTTGTGGCTGCCTGAACGGGCAAGTTAAATTTTGTCTTGAAGACAACGTTAATTTGCTTTTACTCTAGTGTTCCATTTGTAGATTTGCATTTGCGGGGCACAACATAAAATATAATAAATAACACAGTGCACACAGCTGTTCTCCCTAAATTCCTTTTCCCCTCTGTGTCTCATTCACTCAATTGCGTTCTGACCGCTCTCTACAGAAATAAATGCCTATAAAAACGTATCTAACCGATGGGATACACAAGCTACATTCCTTGCCAAATGATGACAGTTCTATCACAAATTCTAAATGGACTGGTTGGTTGAAGTAGAAAAATGTGTTCCAACAACGAGCTGCAGTTTTGGATGAATTGCGTCCCATCTGCTTTCCACTTAAGATACATTGCAAACTGCTAGTGCCATTTAGAATTGGCTAGCCTAGGCTATAACCCCCCTAAACATAGACAGGTTCCACTCTGAAAACAGGCAAAAACATTTGTTTGATAAAGACAGAGCGTATTTTCATCAGAATCATTAAGCATATGCCTACTTACCAAACACATGTCGTGGCCCTAATTCATCACAATGCAGTGTTCAATGTGGAATTGTTCATCCATTTAGAGAATTCCAAAGAACAGATAGAATAAACTAAATCGAACGTCTGTATATCGAAATTATTCCAACTCGCCAAATTCAGCCCCGTTTCAAATGATCACTCTTTGAGAACAACTGCTTCAGGCACAAGATGTGCATCACTTCACATTGGCAACTTTTTTCATTTAGAAAAATATTCTGTTCTATTTTATTCATGTTTTATTTACTATAAAATAGGTGTGTCTTGACTGTCATAAGGGCTCGAGAAATAAGAGGGTCTTGTCTGCTAAATTAACAAAACATGGCTGTCATTGCACTGCCATACATGCTGACCAGACCGCCCGCATGTTGATTTTGTCCACCACACCAGACGAGATCAGGACACACAGGTTGAAATATCAAAACGAACTCTGAACCAACTATATTAACTTCGGGACAGGTCGAAAACCATTAAACATGTATGGCAATTTAGCTAGCTAGATTTGCTGTTGCTAGCTAATTTGTCCTGGGATATAAACATTGGGTTGTTATTTTACCTGAAATGCACAGGGTTCTCTACTCTTGACAATTAATCCACAGATAAAAGGGTAAACCGAGTGAGTTTCTAGTTCTCTCCTCCTTCAGTCTTCTTCTTTGGACTATATAATGGCGGTTGGCAACCAACTTTAAGGTGCATTACCACCACCAACTGGACTGGAGTGTGGACATCTTTCGATCACCCACGTGGGTATATGCTCCTAAAAACCAATGAGGAGATGGGAGAGGCGGTACTTGCAGTGCATCGAGTGTCACAAATAGAACCAAGTTATATTTTAGCGCATGGCTACGCAGACGCTCGTTGACGCAAACGAGCAGTGTGGGTGCAATGATTGAATAACATGCATGTGTACATTTCTTTTGCAACGCTCGCGCACGCAATGCGGGCGGTCTGGTCAGCCTGATATGCTTCTACAAGCAAGAGCCACTGCTGAGGTTACTACCTTTTTGAAGACCGTGTCCCACGATATAATATAACCAATTGATATTACGGTTTCAATAAATTAATCTTAAAATGGCACTTGCTTTTTTATTGACTGAATCTATATGGGTCAATTTAACAATTAGGATTTGTTATCTGTAGTGGTTATGATTAATTAGGCATTGCTGCGATCTGTTGGCATATAGATAAATGTGCCATTTTTTTGTTCCATTAACAGATTTCTTTCTTCCATTCGAGTACTCGAAAAAAAAAAGTAATGCGAGTACTCCAACAGTCTCAATTTCTAAACGCCCATCCCTAACATCAACTCACTCACATCCACCCACCGAATGAACTCATCCACCGAAGCGTTAACTTAGGGCACTGAAGGGTTAACTTGGGGGACTGCCATATTGACACTGACAAACACACCTGTCCACATATTCCAATCCACTGATCTAGGTCTATACTGTTCATCCTGTATCCTGTCTCAGTCTCCACAGTTAGCTTAGCATGGTAAGCTTCTGCATAGCATCTAATAGCATCAACCCTCTATCTGGGACGACATGCTAAAGACCGCTCCGCTTGACAGCCCTCAGAGTGAGAGGAGATAGGCCTAACAATGGAGGTCAATTAACCTTGTCAGGCTGGGGAGGGTGAGACAGCGAGGGTTCTGTCAGGACCTGGGTTGTCATATAGCGGGGTCAGGGCTACAACAGCAGAGCCTCGCACCTGCCCCACACTAGGCTACACAACGCTGCCTCAGCAACATTCAAAACGCTTCCTACTGACAGATTGTTTTCAGTGCTCCTGAAAACATGGACTTCAAATATTTATGAGTGTTACCCAGTGAAACCAAGAGTCAGTACACCAGCATCAATGTAGAGGCAGTGGGAGGGAAAGAGAGAGAGAGAGAGAGAGAGAGAGTGAGAGAGAAAGAGAGAGAAAAGGAGAGAGAGAGAAAGAGAGAGAGAAGGTTGTGTGGGGAGTTTCTTAATGTAATAAGATTAGCATATTTCGTTTTACTTAGGAATGTGTGCAGTGTTATCTTAAGATAGAAGGTTTTAATGTTTTCCTCACTGGTCCATCCTATAACAATCCTTGTTTTAGTTTTCCGCCTTCAATATGTTGTATGTATATTATTGCTCAAAGTGTGTCTGCCTGCGCAAGGAAGAACCAGAGAATAATGTTCTTTTTTTCCAAATCGTTGCGGAATAACCCTGAAATATAAACCGTTGAACCATGTTGAAACATAACCCATAAAATCCCAGTGAAACACATTAGACACACAGAGTGGGGCTGGGGCTGATGTAGAGAACAGCTAATGAAGCAAGAGGAGCCTGTGTCTGCCAGAGGCCTGGTGTTCAAAGGTAGATCAGAGCCACTTCTGCCTTTGTCTGAGGGGAGGTATGTGAGGAATGCAGTCTATTTCAGGAAACCCCGGTGTGTCCCACTCTCCAGTTTGCTCTCATAGAAGCACTCAGCCACACAAGATGGCTGCCTAATCAGACAGGGTTTCCTGATTGGACCCATGCAGACCCACTGGTGGGCAGAGATGGTAGTGATGATGGGCTGATGACAGGCCTGAGGGTTGGGCTGCTAATTCAACACATCAACCTACATCACCACCTTGGACTAATGACACTGGTTGAACCCACCCCCTTGGACTAATGACACTGGTTGAACCCACCACCTTGGACTAATGACACTGGTTGAACCCACCACCTTGGACTAATGACACTGGTTGAACCCACCACCTTGGACTAATGACACTGGTTGAACCCACCACCTTGGACTAATGACACTGGTAGGAAATGGAACATGGGATTAGACTAGAGGCCTATGAACTAAGATCCCAGATGATAGACACTGACCACTACTACACTGTGTGATTGACTGACTAGTGACCATCTAACTCACATACACACTCTGCTGCTGTCAGCTGTTAGGATAGGGGTATGTATGTATTTATGTATGTGTGTATGTGTGAGCAGCACGGTTCTCTCACCCTCCGCAGGGCCTCTTCCTCCTCCTGGCGGATCTCGTAATGTGCAAAGTCATCAAAGATTGAGGTAGTATGCTTGAAAGTTGCGATAATTTTAAGCACTTGCTTGGCCTTCTCCAGAGGCACCTCCTGAGTGTCCCTAGAGTTAGTGACAGGCTTGTTGTCATTGTTCTCCAGCCTGATGTGCCTCAACTGGTTGTTGGGCACGTCCTTCACAAACGCCCACTTCACCTCAAACTTGCCCTTCCACTTGTCCTGAGACCAGACGCCTGCGTAGGCGTTGTAGTCCACGGGTGAGCGCATCTCCGCCACACCGCAGAAATGTCCGCTGCCGTTGACGCTGAACAACAGGTAGAGGGGCCCCTTGGCCCCCAGCGAACGGTAGGCACCGTCCAGGCGCTTGTTGCCATGCTCGGTGCTGCACCAGATGGAGTACTTGATGGAGCGGTGGATGTCGTCCTCAGAGTAGCTCTTGATGATAAACACGCGGCCGTTCTTCAGGTTCCAGTCAAAGTCTTTGGGGTTGTAGTTGTTGAGGGCCCGCAGTTTCTCCAACACGGGGTGCACCTCCCCGGAGCAGGGAGAGGCACTGAGGGGGACCCCACCAACACCCATCCCAAAGCCCTCCACCCCTCCCTGGTTGAAGGTGCCCCTGTTCCGGGGAGCCACCCAGCGGTTCTGGGGTGGGAGCTGGGAGTGTTGGTGTTGATGTATGGGTTGAGGGGGGCCGGGCTGGGAAGAGAAGTTCTGGTGGGGATGTTGGTGGGGGTGAGGGGGGCCTGGAGGAATCTGCTGGGGGTGTTGGGGGGACTGGAGTGACTGCAGCTGAAAGGGTTGGTGGTGCTGCTGGTGTTGGTGCTGGTGTTGGTGCTGATGTTGGTGCTGATGTTGGTGCTGATGTTGGTGCTGATGTTGGTGGGGCAGAGGGCTCTGCAGCAGGGGCTGGGGCTGGCCCATCAGGGTCTGCTGCACCATGGTCTGAGGGGGCATCATGGCCTGAGCTAAGGGGGGCTTGTTGAGGGAGCCCTTATCATCCCAGGTGCCAATGTTCATGTTGTGCTTGATGGGCGGCGGGGGAATGGCAGGGCCCCCCATCCCCATGTTGGCTTTGGGCTTGACCTTGGGCTGGGGCTTGGCCGGCTTCCTGGCGATGGCTGCCCAGGATGTGGGTGTGGGGGCGGAGGAACTAACCAACGGTGGCATGCTATTGGCCGCCATGCTACTCATGCCCAACGTGCCCCCGAGGGGCGAGCCGACAGTCTTGGTGACGGCGGCGCCCATGTCCGTGCCCAGTTTTAACCCCGTCATGCCCTGCTCGATGCTGCTCAGCACTGGGACCTTACTGAGCTGGGTGTCACTGCTAAAGCCCGCCTGTCCGTCAGCTATAGCCCTCCCCAGGGAACTAGGTGTGTAACCATAACTATTACTATAGACGCTGCTCTGTGTGGACTGGCCCTGAGAGACACTAGTGCCCCAGGTGGAATAGTCTGCGTTTCCAGGGAAGAAGTTGAAGCCGTGCTGGCTGAGGAAGGGAGGGGTGTTGCCCAGGGCGCCCGGCTGGCTGAGGAAGGGAGGGGTGTTGCCCAGGGCGCCCGGCTGGCTGAACACCCCGTCGGGGAGAAAGTGGTGCTCGCCGTTGCTCATCTGTCCGTAGGTGGTCAGGTAGGGCATGGGGGGATCCCCCGCAGTGGACCAGGGGGCCTCCCCCAGGGAGTAAGGGAAGCCTATGGAGGGAGCATAGTAGCTGGGCATGTAGGGGTCGGACATTGGTGGGTAGCTGTTATTCTGTAGATGGGGAGAACAAGGGTCAGTTAATGGATGACCTTAATGATAGAAGCTAAGACAAACCTAATCTTGCCCATCGCTCTTCAAAACTGTAACCAATAAATAAATCTGCGTTCATTTTAAGGAGCAAGATTGGCTTTCAGTGGAAATGATGGATACCAGCTCTATCAAATATGTTTCCCATAGCAACAAGTGAAGACAGCAAAGTGTTATAATAATCTGTCAGTTGTTGTTGTAATAATTGTCAGTTTGCAAGGATTTCTTTTATAAGTAAATTGGCGTGGGTGATAGTGGGTTTGTTCTTGGTTACATTTCACTAGAATTCTGTAAGAAGAAGTAAGCTCGTCACCCTGGCACAAGATGATGAACACCACCCAGAGTGTTTTTTTTTAATCAACAATAATTCCACTATCAAAGGTCATTTTTTAAACTTTTCCATTTCAAAATGAGTGTCAGTCATCTATCAATAGCTCCTTATTCACGTTGGCTACTATACAGTGACTTTAGGTTAACCCTCTATACACCCTATATACATATATCACTATCAGACCCAATTATGAGGGTTCAAAAGGTTCAATAAGTCCCAAAACACACATATCCCCTCTATGCTATGGAATGTCAAGCTGGATGGCTGAAAGGCTTGGGCAGAATGGGTACACTCACTCACCTGATTTGTCTGGCTGCTTAGGTAAGGTTCAAAGTCTTCATCATTTACTCCATCCTTCTGATGCATTGAGCCGTTTTGCACTGGAGAGGGAAAATGTTTTTCTTAGGTTATTCTTTAGATGTGATATAACCAAAAAGGGCTCTCAGCTAAATTAAACCAGTGTTTTAACAGATGTATAAACTAATAATTAACAGTTGATAAACCCCTTTATATTGCCTTTAAGTAGTTGGGGTATAACAACATAGATGGTAACACCCAAGAATATGACAGGCACAGTGGTGTATGGGTATATTTAGTTAGTTTACCTACTTTTGACTGATGACACCAGGTCACCAAAAGGTGGTGGAAGAGTGATCAAAGCAGTGATTTAATGACACTCTTTTGTTATCACAGTTTTTACATAAAGTATTTCCCTAGTCAGACAACATTTTGGCTGTCATCAAACTCCACAACAACCATGCAATAGTAAAAGAATACGGTGACAGGAATACCTTTATTTCCTTGTCCTTTGGGTCTCTGACATCAGAATGGGCGAGTGCCAACAAAAATAAAAAGGGAAGAGAGATGTATCAGATTGTGCATTTAGGGAAATGTTTGATAGGAAGAAGAGTGATGGTACCATACATGCGAGGTGAGCTAGGCCTAGGCTACTGAAATACAAGCAATGATTCCATACCAGTAGCTGTATATCACTAAAATGTTACGCACATTCAGCCCTAGACTAGCCTATAGACCTACGGCTTCCTTTGAATTATTGACCGGATGTCAAACGCACACTGACATCCAGTAAACGTGCCGCATAGTACAGAATACAGCAACCGGCTCAAGGTGGAGCTTGTTGCCGCCGCTGCGCAGCCGGTAGGCTACTTCAAGGTTCGGCCTACATAGCAGCTAATAGCTATCATATATCAAATACTTTTGCCTGCGTTATATGGCATGCCTACCGCACTGAATGATAGCAGCTGACAAAGGGGTTGACAATGTTCAAATTGCAACGACACACATGTCACGACAGTGGGTTATCAAAAATACGCACCTGATCGACTGTGGTTGCAGACATCCTCCAGGAGCCGAAACGGATTGCTGTTTGTGACTGTCCACGGTTTCTCCTGCTTCTGCACTCCGGTATTTTTCTCAGCTCGTCTCGGGTTATCCAATCTCTCTCTGTATGTAGCGGCGGTGTTTTTCTCCAGTCGTCAGATCTTTCCCTACAATGTTTTCTCGAGCGCCGAGGATCGCGACTTTGTATCTGTCGGTGGTATTAAATGTTTCCGATCTAGCTGACGTTCGGCTACAATTTATCACTCACTCTGAAACTGCCTAATGCCAGATTGGAATATCCCTTACTCTATTCCACAATGGCGGATAGGCTATTATGCCGCGTTCACACACTAGTCGGAACTAGGAAATTTGGAAATGTCCGACTTGCTAACTGGTTGTAGTTATACACGTGCCGCGTTCAACGAATCAGCAAGTCAAACATTTCCGAGTTTCCTAGTTCCGACTAGCATATGAACGCGGCATCTATCTCGCTTCCGTTCTATTGCTCCATGACCTTCCGCCTGTGACGCTCTGAGTCATGTTACTACAGACTGACAGTCACATTTCACATGACATGTCTCAGAAGATTTACCCTTTATTCTACAATACAACATACTTTTGTTTCCCTTGTTAAAATAAATTATGTGTGTTCACTGTGATGTGACAAAAAAAAAATATGTATGCACGCATGACTGTAAGTCGCTTTGGATAAAAGCGTCTGCTAAATGGCATATTATTATTATTATTATTATTATTACAAACTGTGTCACTTCAGGCAGATCTGTCTCTGTCTGCCTGCTCAACATCCTCTGAATTGGTCTCTCTCTGCAGTGTAGCAGACCATTAGGCTACATGGAATGCCCTGCCTAAAGATCACTGTCATGTGACATTTTTATTGCAAATTACATTAATGGAAGGATTCATTTAATAATTTGCCTACCAGCACATACAGGTCTCCTCTCATGGACTTGAATGGCATCCTTGAATGTAGATGGAATTGTAGGCTATTGTGGATAGATGAGCAGGTGCAATAGCATATCTCAAGCTCTTATACCAAACCTAAAGACCCACAGATCAAGGTTTGCTAAGTTTGCCACATACAGAGAGTTTGGGAGTTATGTCCTTAAAACAGGAAAATTAACCCAGGGTGCATGCTACAATAATAATAATAATAATAATGCATTCCATTTGTAGACCACTTTTCATGTACACACACACACACACGAATGTATTGGGGAACCCCCCAGCACCCCTCACTTTAGCAGGACACATTTATTTACAATACTTGTGCTGATGTCAACAGACTTCTATTATAAAATAATACGGCAGAACCATGACCAGAGGTAACATCACTTACTCAGGATTCTGTAGACTAGCCTATTGTATGGGGCGGCAGGTAGCTTAGTGGGTAAGAGCGTTGTGCCAGTAACCGAAAGGTCGCTGGTTCTAATCCCCGAGCCGACTAGGTGAAAAATCTGTCGATGTGCCCTTGAGCAAGGCACTTAACCCTAATTGCTTCTGTAAGTCGCTCTGGATAAGAGCGTCTGCTAAATGACTAAAATGTAAAATGTACGCATCTGTCAACATTGAGGTGGCGGTAATGCACCATAACGTTGGATGCCAACCGCCGATAAACCCCACCAAAGAAGAAGATCTGGCAACGTTTGTCTTCTCGCGATATTTCCGCAGTGGGTGGTGGAGCCAGAGATATGGCAGCCGTCGTGCTGAGGTTCTGCCGTAAAGGACTGTCTCACATTTTGAGGAATGGAGCAGTCGCTACTTTCTCGCCAAAGACTTTGGGAGGTGAGTATGATACCACGGTTCGATGTGTACCTGTTCACGGGAAAGCTTACAGGCTACGATATAAAAATAAATAGAGGAGGGGGTGTGGCAGAGGCAGGGTCGCCACTTGGTACCACAAACACAAAGTCATAAACCCCGCCTATTTCTACAATTTATCTTCTTAAAATAATGTTAAACTTAACCCTAACTACACTACTAACCGTATGCTTAACACTATCCTTAAATTAAGACCAAAAAGCACATTTTTCTTTTCATACATTTTTACGATGTAACCAATTTTGACTTAGTGGCAGTGGTACCTAGTGACAACACAACGGCAGGCCCGGTCATCTGAATGTATTTGTTTGCTCATGCACATATAAACTGCGCAGCACTTGCGTATTCTCAGATATCGCACAATCAATGCTGGTAAGGAATGGGCACAGTGTGTTGCATTATGGGTATAAAAATGGTCCTACTTGCGACTACATGTCGACTGCATGACCATTACAACAACCATGCGATCAAAGGTCAAGAACTTTCGACTGCAGTTCCTCCTTACCAACTGCAAGTAGGAACCAAATCATTATGGGAGACAACCCTATTATGTTGTTTTGGAAGTAAAAGGCGCTACAGTACATTCGAAAAGTATTCAGACCCCTTTTTCCACATTTTGTTACGTTACAGCCTTATTCTAAAATGGATTAAATCGTTTTTTCCCCTCATCAACTACACACAATGACATAATGACAAAGCGAAAACAGGTTTTTAGAAATGTTTGCAAATGTATAAAAAAATTATAATACTGAAATACCTTATTTACATAAGGATTCAAACCCTTTGCTATGAGACTCGAAATTGAGCTCAGGTGCGTCCTGTTTCCATTGATCATCCTTGAGATGTTTCTACGACTTGATTGGAGGCCACCTGTGGTAAATTCAATTGATTGGACATGATTTGGATAAGGCACACACCTGTCAATATAAGGTCCCACAGTTGACAGTGCATGTCAAAGCAAAAACCAAGCCATGAGGTTGAAGGAATTGTCTGTAGAGTGCTGAGACAGGATTGTGTCGAGGCACAGATCTGGGGAAGGGTACCAAAAAATGTCTGCAGCATTAAAGGTCCCCAAGACAACAGTGGCCTCAATCATTCTTAAATGGAAGAAGTTTGGAACCACCAATACTCTTTCTAGAGCTGGCCGCCCGGCCAAACTGAGCAATAGGGGGAGAAGGGCCTTGGTCAAGGGAGGTTACCAAGAGCCCGATGGTTACTCTGACAGAGCTCCAGAGTTCCTCTGTGGAGATGGGAGAACCTTCCAGGTGGACAACCATCTCTGCGGCACTTCACCAATCAGGCCTTTATGGTAGTGGCCAGACGGAAGCCACTCCTCAGTAAAAGGCACATGACAGCCAGCTTGGAGTTTGCCAAAAGGCACCTAAAGGACTCTCAGACCATAAGAAACAAGATTCTCTGGTCTGATGAAGTTGGAGTTTGCAGACGACACAACAGTAGTAGGCTTGATTACCAACAATGACGAGACCGCCTACAGGAAGGAGGTGAGGGCTCTGGGAGTGTGGTGCCAGGAAAATAACCTCTCACTCAACATCAACATAACAAAGGAGATGATCGTGGACTTCAGGAAACAGCAGAGGGTGCACCCCCCTATCCACATCGACCGGACCGCAGTGGAGAAGGTGGAACGCTTAAAGTTCCTTGGCGTACACATCACCAACAAACTGAAATGGTCCACCACGCAGAGAGTGTGGTGAAGAAGGCGCAACAGAGCCTCTTCAACCTCAGGGGGCTGAAGTAATTCGTCTTGGCACCTAAAACCCTCACAAACTTTTACAGATGCACAATTGAGAGTATCCTGTCGGGCTGTATCACCACCTGGTACGGCAACTGCACCCGCCGCAACCGCAGGGCTCTCCAGAGGGTGGTGCGGTCTGCCGAATGCATTATCGGGGGCAAACTACCCGCCCTCCAAGACACATACAGCACCCGATGTCGCAGGAAGGCCAAAATGATCATCAAGGACATCAACCACCCATGCCACTGCCTGTTCACCCTGCTATCATCCAGAAGGCGAGGTCAGTACAGGTGCATCAAAGCTGGGACCGAGAGAATGAAAAACAGCTTCTATCTCAAGGCCATCAGGCTGTTAAATAGCCATCACTAGCACATTAGAGGCTGCTGCTGCCTATTGAAATCACTGGCCACTTTAAGAAATGGAACACTAGTCACTTAAATAATGTTTACATATCTTGCACTACTCATCTCATATGGATATACTGCATTCTATAATATTCTACTGTATCTTAGTCCATGCCGCTCTGTCATTGTCATTGCTTGTCCATATATTTTCTTAAATTCCATTCCTTAGTAGTTTTGTGTGTATTAGGTATATGTTGTGAAATTGTTTGATATTACTTGTTAGATATTACTGCACTGTCGGAGCTAGAAGCACAAGCATTTCGCTACACCCGCTATAACATCTGCTAAACACGTGTATGTGACATATAAAATTTGATTTGATTTATTTGAAACCAAGATTGAACTCTTTGGCCTGAATGCCAAGCGTCACGTCAGGAGGAAACCTGGCACCATCCCTACGGTGAAGCATGGTGGTGGCAGCATCATGCTGTGTTTTTCAGTGGCAGGGACTGGGAGACTAGTCAGGATCGAGGGAGAGATGAACGGAGCAAAGTACAAAGAGATCCTTGATGAAAACCTGCTCAGGACTATATTTTTAGGTGAATAATAACAACAATAATAATAATACTCAATAGGCAAATATCACAGCCAATCACAACACTGGCGGGTAAGTAATACTGTGAAACACTGTCATTCCTCTATAAGCGGCAGATATGTTATGGACATTTTCAGAAATTAGAATTCAAAAATTCTAAGAAATCCTATGTGTAGCAACTTTAAGGTTGACGCTCACAGGCAGGAGGAAAACAACTACATCGACCATGATCCTTTGCTAGTTACGGCCACTTTCACCATGATCCTAAACAAAAAAAATGTTTGTCCATTCAGCAATATGGCCAGAGATATTAGAGAAAGGAGGACACCGGAATCCCATTGGGCAATGACTGGAGGAACGTATAACACCTCACCCAGCATACTGTCGACCAATCGCGTTCATGTTGTCATGCTGCGTCACATGGTTGCTAAGCTAATCATCACGCAATTCCTTCTCAAAGTAAGGGTATGAGTCGAGTCCTTGTCCCAGAATCGCCCAGAATGGACCATGCGGCCCATTGATGATGCATGGGCAACGTACACAATGGGCGTTAATATGATTCCAATGGAGTTTTACATCTCCTCAAAAGTAACTTAGTGGTTAAAAGCGTTGTGCCAGTAACCGAAAGGTCGCTGGTTCTAATCCCTGAGCCGACTAGGTGAAAAAATATGTCAACGTGCCCTTGAGCAAGGCACTTAACCCTAGTTGCTCCTGTAAGTCGCTCTGGATAAGCGCGTCTGCTAAATGACTAAAAATAAAAAATAAATAATCTCTGATATGGCATGCTTCAAATTCAAATACTTCCGGCTTCATGCGCCATCGGGAGTTTTCCATAGGAATACTGTATGTGGATGACATCAGCGCTATCACTATCTACTGGTTTTAATGTCTATGGTTTGCACAGTCGCCCAGTGTAAAACGCAGGAGTAGCTGCTTTTTGCAATGCTAGTATTTACCATAGAGAATGATAGAGGCCTCAAGTAGCCAAAAGGCTGTATTAGCATTGGCAGCGTCATTGAGAGCTTTCACCATTTTGAATGTAGTCAAACTGAGTGGGACTTTCAACTTCATTGGCTAATCACTCATGGTGACCCTGTTGGAGTCATGTCCAACCGGGTCACCTGGACGGATCAGCCAATCGTGAAGAAATTTGACTACTTCAAAATGGAATTTGCCTCAATGGCGCTGCCCATGCTTGCAGAGACGCTATAATGGCACAGATACAAAGAGGAGTCCTCTATCTATCTCTATGGTATTTACACACTAGCTTTGCTGGGAATTGTCTTGCAAAAAAAAAAAAGACTAGTCTGCCGAAAGCTAGCAATTTACTCTGTTGATTGTCTGTTGGCTTGGTCCTTATGCAAGGGGGAATTAGAGAAAAGCATCTAATGGAAAGTATAATTAAACAGAATTTCCAAACTTGGGTCTGTTGTTGACCCATGCAGTTTCTCAGCGAGGTCAGTTCCTCTCTGCTTACCTCATGTCAAAATAAAAGTCCCCCACAAGTTATTGCTTCTTTGGGCAGGTATGGTGCACGTGCAGGACTTTTATTTTGACATGAGGTAAGCGGAGAGGAACGTGGGTCTACAACAGACCCACGTTTGGAAAGTCTGTTAAATTTATGTTCTACAGAACATCAGGGAAACTGGGCAGAAGGGAGTGGTACTTCAAATACAGCAGATCTGCAACATCTTTAATTGAGCCTCTCATTCTCCTTAATTGCCGCCTCAACACATTATGGAAAGAGATTAACTGTATAGGAAGTTCTGGGGACATGTCGTCTGGATACTGGACAGCCAATACATTGGCATATGGAAACAGATTATCATCTTTAACAGACAGCTGTTCTTGAGGGCTCAAACTAAAAAAGCGGTGTGTGATTTTGTTCATACTGGTGAACTGCCATTTGAGTTGTGTGGTTGCAATATCAACAGTCCTTTATCTCTGGTATATATTGGCATGCATCAAGTTTAAATTGTGTGCAGCGTAATGGACATATAATGCACAATGTCTCAGGAAAGACTGTCTTGGTTGTCAATACTCAGTATTGAAAAGAGTCGGCCCCGCAACCTGGACCTACAGGTCATGGTGGAAACATTTGAACACAAAAATGCAAGGCAACACAGTCGCATACTGTAGCTTCTATAGGCCTCTACATAGAAACACATAGTGCCATTAATAGACTGGTTTAACGCACAACAACTTTCTATCCATGCTGGAGAGAGCGCGAGGACGGCTCATATCATGCAGGTTCAGGTAGCCTATACAGGACAGCTGTATATTCTAAACCAATACATTGGTTGCTGATTAGTATGCTGTTGTATCGAATATTTATTTTACAATCTGCAACTTTAATTACCGCCAGCCAGCAGTCTAAATGGACGCCCTGCGACACCATGTATAGCTTCGTGAAATGTTAGGCTTTTCATGAGAAAATGACAACCAAATAGTTCTACCAATAAACATTTATTCATTAGCTAAAGCAAAGCTATAGGCTGCATGCCCTGGCACCACAGAAAGCCTATCATCAATTCGATAGGCAGCCGCATAGACATGTCGCAGTTTCAGCACAATGGACAGCGATCTGTAATCTATACTTTGTGTCTGGCTGACTCATTAGATTGTAATAAAATGTTTTTAGGGGGGCGCAAACTCAGACCTTGCGGGGGTCCAGAGAAACTGCGTTATGCCAGTGCTAGCGTTGCTAAAAGCAGCTAGGGTAGCCTAGTTTTTAGACATCAATGCAAATGCTGTTAAATTAAATATAACCTTTTGCGTTATAATTTTCTTGGCTGGTAATGTTATTCTGTTTTAATTGTTTTTATATTGTGATAAGTAACACGTTTCCACCTGAATTGCATCGTGTCAGAGTCTGCTGTATCAGGGTCTGTTCGGTAGGTTTCACTCTGGTGATGTCAACAAAGCCTTGTCCCACAGCACTGGCCCAGATCTATTTTCAAAATGTTACATAAGAATGCCTCAGCTGATCATTCCTTGCCTTGACTTCACCCTGATTTTAGCTTTCAGGGGGGTTGCACCAATCACCCAAATACAACCTACATTTTACATGACACACACCATTCTTAAAGACACACTCCTTTCTCACCTTTTGCATTAAATCACTTATTCTAATTCCGTCATAGTCAATTGGCACCTATTGTGTGTGTGTGTGTCCTACAGGGGTGAGACAGAAGTCCTCTGTACAGTATGCAACGAGGCCAGAGCTCCCTAAGCTGGCCTACCGCAGGATAAAGGGGAAGAGTCCAGGCGTGGTCTTCCTGCCTGGGTATGGATCCAACATGAACGGCCAGAAAGCTGAGGCCCTGGAGGAGTTCTGCAGATCGCTAGGACACTCATACCTTAGGTACTGTACTCTACCTGCCGCTGTGTAACGCAATACACAGCGGCAGGTAACCTAGCGGTTAAGAGCGTTGGGCCAGTAACTGAAAGGTCGCTGGTTCGTATCCCGAGCCGACTATGTGAAAAATCTCTGTGCCCTTGAGCAAGGCACTTAACCCTAATTGCTACTGTAAGTCACTCTGGATAAGAGCGTCTGCTAAATGACTCAAATGTAATTAAATGTTTGACAGATGTCCCTCTTCATATTTCTCACAAATATAAATACAAATAAATAAAATTGCATGATTATGGCATAACTAATTTCTTCAAGCTTCCAGTAAAGACATACTGGTAAACAACTAACTTTCAAATTATGGCTGAACTTTGCCTCTTTTAGCCTCCCCAAGTTGCTAAAATCTCTTGATTAGGTTATAGGTGTTGAACAAAGGTTGCTATAGTATTTTAACAAGAGGGTCTACTTGATTTAAATTTTATTCGCTCTTGCTCGCCTCACTTTTCAGAAAATGAAATCGAGTACACGTTTATTAAAATTGCATGGCCTAATAAACCATGTTATAAAAATACCATGTTTATAACGTCCTTTAAACCGTGGTACATTACCCAAATATACCCCCTGAATCTGAATATCTGAGGTAGGCATACCTTAGCCAAACCTTTATCCTGATGTTCATTGGCTGAATAGACCCCCGAGCCTATATGTTAGGTATGTTACGCAAATACCACCCTTTAACTCATGTTACCCAAATAGACTGTGTTCTCTGAGTTATTATGCTAGCTTAGCCAGATTTTGTCCCATGTTTTATTGTATGTCTGACTGTGGTCCTCCAGGCTCATGTTGTGTTTGTGGTTCCCCAGGTTTGACTACACAGGCCATGGGTTATCAGAGGGAGTGTTCACTGAAGGGACCATCGGCACCTGGAAGAAAGATGTCCTCTTCGTGTTGGATGAACTAGCAGAGGGTCCACAGGTGAAAGAACTCTCCACTGGTAGATCTAGAATCATACCTAAACTAGCCTTTAGATAACTCTCGTATCCATATGCATGTATTTATGTGTGTATTTATTGGGATTGAAATTGGTATTTGATTTTGTTCATTATTAAAGTGTTTTGTATTTTCAGATCTGCGTTTAAGAGCTCAAAGACTAGTTTGACTTTATAACCCAGTTATAAACCGTCCCTTTCAAGTCTCTTACATGACATTGATATTTCAAAATATGCTCTGTTCATTTTGCCCTCCATAATATTTACTCAATTTGTTGTGTAAGATTTCAGTTAGAATCTGTATAAAAAAAGAAATGTGGTACTGTATTAATGTTGTTGAATTCAAACTGTGGTGTTAGTGGGCACTGTCACACAAATTAAATAGCATCTCACACCACCATGTAACGTTCACGTCACACACCGTTCAATCATTACCTGAGTAGCATAGCCTCCCATGCCAGACTTCAAGGCTCTTCTGGACATTCATCAGACACACAGTTAGTGAATGAGACCATTAGCAGGGCCAGAGTCACCAATGGCCGATATTACTCCCTATGTGCCTGTGATGGTGATGATGATTTGGAACCAATTCAGGGAACAGAACCAAAAACCGAAAACAATAAAACATTTCCAGGAACGGAAACAGAACTGGGAACGAAAGTGATCTTTGTACCGTTATTTTCAAATCTTGAGAACCAGTTAATAATGTAATTTTTTGTTCCAAAAATATTCTTAATATCTTGTATATAATTATGTCATTTAGTGACATTATGATGCTAGTAATAGCCTAAACACATTCCAATTCACATCATACATGTAAACAACTAGCTTACAGTTCCATAGCAAGCTTCTCTATCCACATTAATTGGTGGAGTAAATGAATGGCATAAATGTAAAAGCCATGTTGAGTTCACGGGGGGAAAAATTTACTAAAAGGCACTATATGAACCGTTACTTTTTCTGGATCAAACCAGTTCAGAACTTTATTATGCTGGTCGGAACACTCGAACGGAATGAAATACTGAGGGGTTGTGCTCGGAACGGAACGATTGGAAAATAATTTCCCCTGGTTAGAATCACAGCTGTTTTTAAAAACTACCTCTGTCCATTGAAACTAGACGACCATGGTGCTTCTCTGCAAAAGAGTCAGTTCAAATGGAAGAAAGGAGACAAGGATAGGAGACGAGGAGACAAGCGAAGCAATCCATATCAAACTATTGGTATTTCTATGTACCATTGCTCCCTATCCTAGATCTAGGCATCTTTAACATAATCATGTATTTCCCCATGGTCTCTGTTTTAGATCATGGTGGGATCCAGTATGGGAGGCTGGCTCATGCTGTTGGCAGCTATCGCCAGGCCGGAGAAGACTGCAGCTCTGGTGGGCATCTCCACGGCAGCAGACCACATCGTCACATCCTTCAAGTCAATGTCTCTAGAGGTGAGAGAGGATATCATTAAATAATGTATGTGTGGTTATGACCAGGGTTGTTGCTAATTCCATTTCTATTCAAGGGGTGGTGAATTGAAATTCAATGTTCTATATGAATGTCAATTCATTATTTGATTTAAAATGGAACTGATCCCATTTCACCACAGGTGCGTAAGGAGATTGAAGTGAAGGGTGTGCTGACGGTGCCCACCAAGCACAGCGAGGAGGGCGCCTACACGTTCACCATTGGCTTCCTGAAGGAGGCGGAGAACCACTGTGTCCTCCAGAGCCCCATCCCCATCACCTGCCCTGTGAGGCTCATCCATGGCCTGAAGGACGACGACGTGCCCTGGCACATCTCCATGCAGGTGGCCGAGCGCGTCCTCAGCCCCGACGTGGACATCATCCTCCGCCGCCACGGCCAGCACCGCATGTCCGAGAAGGACGACATCAGGCTCATGGTCTACACCATCGACGACCTCATAGACAAGCTGACCACCCTCGTTTGAGTTGGTGGGGGGGAAATGCACCCCATTGGAGAGGCAGGAGCAGCCATATATGATCCCAGCTATCCCACTCTCCCCTTACCCTACCTTCCATTCTGCCCCTGGTCAGTTTGTCCTCAATATGCTGTTACAAAGCAAGAGAGAGAGACGAGGATTATCAAAAGTACAAACTGATGGAACGAGGAACTCATCTGTCAGAAACCTCAGCCAGGTCCCTGATGCCTGCCTTGGGGAGGGAGTGTGTCTTTTACCAGTTTACGCAGTGTTGTTTTGGTAAACCTTTCTACGGGCCATGCTGCGCTGCTAATGCTGCCACTGTTTGTTTGACAGAACGTCCTGGTCCTTTTGCCATACCCCAATAGTTCTACTGTGCCTTTTTTACCATGTCTCCCCGTTGGGCCAATAAAGCCTCTGCACACCAGAGTGGAGCGCAGGTCTCATCTGTCACTGCATGCAGATATTATGAGGTAATCGCAGCACCCACAGGTAGAATACACACAAACAACATGCTCCATCAAACTGCCTCCTACGCAGAAGCACTGTGAAATAGTGTGGTGACCGGTCTAAACTGTATTTCCACACTGTGTCCATGCCATACCTACCAAAATGACCGTACACTGTATCTCAAAATAGCTAAAGAAAAGTCAAGAGGAAACATAAGGTTAAAGGTTATATTTACGAGCACCACATCCCAGAGGTCCCATAGAATGTTAAAATAACCACCGAAGATCACTTAAAGATCGCCTTGTTTGATTTATTTTCATAATCTACTGTACATCCACCCCCCATCTCCATGGGTCTGTTGTAGTGAAACGCCCCGCCCTGTCTGAGCCACTGGGCTGTTGATTAACACGTGGTTGGTCATTGGACTGTGTTCAATGGGGCAGAAAGCCAGTCCTGCTGCAGCAGACACAGTAACTATCTCTCTCTGATCCCTTAACTGCTGCTCTAACCTTTCACTCTTCGACAGAAGGTATGCAATCAGTCACCTCCGCATCACACTTAAACTTAAACATGAGCACGCATCGGGGTGTAAAACAAAACGCCTGAGTTATGTATGTACATTACTGGTGAGGAATTTACTAATATGTAGTGCTAGACCATATATCCTAATGACAAGGACTGGAAGTGCATACACTCAGATACAGTGATGGTGAGAATACTCCTGAATTTATTTTAGCCTGACAGTCAAATGGTACAGTATTGCGATGATGATAGGATTCAAAAGCTTATCGGACATTCTGGAAAATCATCTCTATTTCCCGTATTTCAACACTTTCTGGAGACTTTTTCCAGCTTGTGATGCATGTTGTCATTTCAGTACTGTAGCCTTCACAGCACCCAGACCCTCTTTCCAGATCTATCTGGCATCCACCTCTATAACTCTAACCCAATTAAAGCAGAGCAATGGCTCTCATTATTGAAATTGAGAGACAAGCTGCAAGTCAGACACTAATGGGCTGTTCTGTGCCTTCCAAATCTGCAGATACATTTAAGGTTGGCATGATGTTAAAGGTGAAAACATGGTTTTATTTATCTGGTTCTATAAATTGTGAGTCTGGGCTCCATCCGGTGTGAGAGTACTAAACACTTTTATGTCATGTGCCTTTTAGATCTCGTCCATGGGCATGATAAGTGGCGACCCGTCGTTCAGGGCAGATGGGGCAGAGCCCCACCTGTTTAGCAAAAAATATAACTATATATAACTAAATAAAAATAAAAAGTTTGCCATGTTATTTTGGCATTAATACGTGTCACATATCAGTTTGCAAACAATGTAAAATAAAAAAATCATGTTTGTATGCGGCTTTATTAACTCAATGGTCTCCTTTTTTGCTTTCTTGAGTAAGGCGGCTCCAAAATGCAGGTGTTTCAGCCTAGCTCAGTGCTTTCTGTGGTGGTGGGGCAGCCAGCGGAAGATACGGAGCGAAGGGGTTGGTAATGTTCTCTAGTTGCGCCGTGATTGACTCAGTGTTCTGTCACTCATGGGGACACTACGTCACAGCAAAATCTACAGGGAGAGCTCAAATTCAAGCCCCTTGGGTGCTGCCATAGTTACATTAGAGGTGCCCATCCAAGAAGGCTCAAGGTCATTGGCCACAGATAAAATGAAGTCAAATCACGTTATATCTACAATAGCTTATATCTACAGTAGCTTCAAAAATCTTAGCTAGCAAGCTAGCAGTCATCATCATGAATCAAGTTGACAATCTACTGGCAAATCCTTTTCAATCCTTGTCATATGAAGAGAAATTATAGATAAAACGTATCAGTGCTCATTGGACATAAACATTACACAACAAGTTGGAAATCGCAAATTCAACAATGAGGGGTTTGGAAGTAGTCAGTGGCTAACTGCAAGCATTGCAAAGCAATCACTAGCCTGCTATTCAGTGGAGTGGATGTGTGGTCCAAGTCTGGGTTTAAGGGTCTCTTTTCCATGCTTAAAATGATAAACATTCAACATTGGCCATGCTATCAATCCAGCATGACTTCTGCCGCTTTCAAAACAACTGGGAAATCTCAGACTTTCAGTGAGTTGAAGACAACTGGGAACTCTGAGAAAAACGAGCTCCGACTGGGAAAATATGTTTTGAATGGTCATCCAACTCAGAATTCCAAGTCTGGAATTCTGGCCTCTTTCTAGAGCTCCAACCTGAAGATCACTAACGTCATGATTCAACCTTGTGTTTTTTAGAGTTTCCAGTTGTCTTGAAAGCACCATAAATCCAGAGAATGCCAGACTTTGATGACAAAATCCAAAAATGTCCAAAAATGTATTGTATGCTGCTGCATAAATGATGTAATATGCCAGGGAGATACATATACTGTAGCTAAGAAAGTACTACCAAGTGTATGTTGCTTAGTAAGCTGTTAGTAGCCCGTGTGCCTCACCCTAATAAGTTGGTCCCTTTTCCCCTCATAATTTAGCCTACTGTTCTGACTTGGTGGTGCACACACAGCCTATAGCCTGTTTTAGAGAAATGTCATCATCGAATATTGTAAGAGCTTTCATTGTCTGCTTATATACCCCCTTTATTTATCCAACGGTTCTGACTTGGTGTACAGGGAGAATACTGTTAGAACGGCCCATGTTCTGAATTCTGTTGCAGTAGGCCTACATTTCAAAAGTGCTGAACAAATTGTTATTTTGACTATGTCTGTCCTAGCGCGCTCATTAATATCTTCATCGAAATTACGGATTGCCTCTTATCTGCTCGTCATCCCGTTATGCCATAGTTTGTACATATCAATTGTCAGTAGAAACCACATTTGTTTAAGCAAGTCAGCCGTAGCAGCTATGTTTTTATAAAAGGCTGTAAATGAGGCTGAATGAACTGTTTTGCTGCCAGACAAGGCTCTGCTGATAGCCAGGTGTAACAGTGGTAAGGTGTTGGGACAGTTTTATGTAGACTCTAATAACAGTTTGTGGTCACCGTTTGTCACGTTAAAGTCCAATTAATGTATTGTTTAGTGTTGTGTAGTGTAGTGGCTTTGCTGGCATGCATCTATAAAAAAAACTGGGGGAGTTTGACCCACCAAGATTTACATGCTAAAATCGGCACTGGGCGTGATGATAATGATGGTCAGTCCACATAGCCTTAAAGCTGGGCGTGGGCTCACCTCGCCTTCTCCTCTTCCTCTTCTATCTGCTGGCCTGTTGCATTCTTAATCGGAGATCTCGAGGGATCCTCCTCGTGGTGCCCGCACATATAAAACCCGTGGCGTGCCACTCCCGGACACTGTGTCCAGAGCCTCGCCCACGCACGCGCCGCCGCCACTGGATACAGTTCAGCATCCTCTGCGCTGACCAGCTCAGCGGAATTAACCGGCACGGCAGCTACCAGACGAAAAGGACTTTCTCTCCTCTTTTTTCTAGTAAGTGTGCCCGGAGTTTATATTCGTCCATTTTTTTTTTTTTATCAGCGCATGATTTTTGTTGTTGTGTGCATTAATAATTAAACGGCACTGCTAGTTTATTCAATTGCCTATGAGATATTCGGAAAACTTGCGTTAGGCTTTGAGACAAATCTTATACATTTCATAGAAAGTACATGATTCAAATTCATAATCCGATTTGCTAATTTCAAATTTTTCTTTTTTTGTATTGTGAAAAAAGTAACTATTTTTTCTAATTCATGGTAGGCTACATAATCAATGCAATGCGATTGCTTTTCGATGTTATGCTCAACACGCACACAGTCTAGGATACCATAGGCTACCTCATTAGAATGTGCCCAGGACTGTTGCCAAGGACCACACCCATTCCTGTAGAGCTCTGGTTCTGGGTCTCTGGGGGATGTGTCTGTGCTGTAAGGGACACAGGTGCCATTAGGGAGAAAGCAGAGGATAGGGTGTGAGGAAAGAAAAGGAAATCAAGTAAACAGGTGATGTAGCTAATCATAGAAAAATATATATATGTTGTCCCTTATAATGCACAATTAACAATGTGACTACTTTGCATTAGTTAATGTTCTGATGTCAGGAATTGGATGTTAATACAGTAGCATTGCTTTAACAGTGCTTGATAACGTTCAGTTTTCTACATGATGTATTGCCTTTCTGTAGCGGGTGTAGGCTGCCAGTGCTGTGACTGCTCCAGGGTGTTGGTCAGTGGAGCTGCAGACTACTGGTCCGTGGGTGTCTGTCTGGCCTGTGTCTGTCTGTCTGTCTGTCTGTCTGTCTGAGTGAGCAGGACAGGAGGAGCCATGGCTAACAGGGGACCCAGCTACGGGCTGAGCAAGGAGGTGCAGGAGAAGATAGAGCTGAAGTATGATCTGGAGCTGGAGGCCCGGCTGCTGGACTGGATCGTAGCTCAGTGTGGAGGGAACCTGGAGAGACCACAGCCAGGCAGACAGAACTTCCAGACCTGGCTGATGGATGGAACAGTGAGTCTGAATGAGAATGAACAAGCTCAATAAGATTAACTGATTGACTGGACCGCAGTCAGTGATATAATAATAATATAATAATAATATGCCATTTAGCAGACGCTTTTATCCAAAGCGACTTACAGTCATGCGTGCATACATTTTTTTTTTTTGTGTATGGGTGGTCCCGGGGTTCGAACCCACTACCTTGGCGTTACAAGCGCCGTGCTCTACCAGCTGAGCTACAGAGGACCACATATAGAACGACCGCTTATATAAGCTAACAATGACACCAATTTATGTCCTCTGCCTTTTTCTTTGTCTCTCTCTCTTTTCATTGATCAATCTCTTCCTTTCTACCTCTCTACTTCTCTTCTTTATCCATGTATCTGTATTCTTCTTCCTCCCTCTTCCTCCTCCTCCTCCCTGTAGATTCTGTGTAGGCTCATCAATAGCCTGTACCCGCGTGGTAATGAGCCCATCAAGAAGATTCTGGAGACCCAGATGGCCTTTAAGCAGATGGAGAAGATCTCCCAGTTCTTGCAGGCTGCCGAGGTCTACGGAGTAATGACCACAGACATCTTCCAGACCGTGGACCTGTGGGAAGGTGGGCTGCACGTTCACTGGCACATATAAAGTCTCCATAAATCCATGTGACATTGACATGCTTCTCCAATGACGCCGAGTCACACACTCGTGTCTCTGCTGAGCTGTCTGCCTGTACATTACCATCAATACTCACATTGAATTTACAAGAGTCTTTATAGTCCAGTAGCGGTGCATGGGTAAAACCACTGGGGAAGCCAAGCCAGATGATTGTGTTGTTTGCTCTATAACCTGTTAGTTCATATGCCTTACCACCATAATATATAGGCCTAAAGGCAGAGACGATAAGAAGACACAGTGGCAGAATAAATTCAACCACACCTTTTGTTTCATCACAAAACCGGAGAGCAACATCAGTCCGGTGAAGTCCACGAAGCATATTGCATGTAAAAAAACAAACAGTTACATGACCTACTGCATGGTCAATCAACTTAATGTTTCCAACATTTTCGGACTACTAAACACCAGAGAGTTACAGCAAGTCGCAAAGAAAACAGGGTCTGCCTCCACTATTCCAGCACCATTTCAACTTCAACATTTCAACATCATCAAATCACCTATACTTAGTCTAAAACAGTGACAACTAAAAGATACCAAAACCGATTTAGTCCAATCAACATAAGCTAAATATCATGTGGCTGTCCATGGGACTGATTTCTGTGTGTGTGTGCTCGTGCATGCGTAGAAAAAACACGTTGACTCACCCTACTTGTAGAGAAATGCAAATGCCATCCTCCTCTCTTTCATGTTGCCAATACAACCTATCACTCTGTCATATAGTACACGCTTTTAGTTTTTGTTGTCCTTGGCTACCTGACTAAAATGCTTGCTCACTAGCCTAACTTCCGTTCATGGGCAACGATTAGCCAGCTAGTTAACATTAGCCTACTACATCTAGCTACATATTGAACTTCCATTTTCTCAGGCCAGGGGCACAATGTATACATTGATGGTTGGATCAGAATCGCATTATAATCATTGGCCAGTACGGAGAATTAAGTAAAACCACAAGTCCAAATCCCTGTCTCCATCCATGGCTAAAATGATGTTTTAGCTTTTGATGTGATTGGTGTGAAGTCAAATCCAAAACTGGCTTCCCTTGACACTTTTTTTGGGGGGGGGGTGCGCCAGGACCATGCACAGTTGAGCTCACTCAGTTTAACTCAACGCTAATTGGCTAATATTGTATACATTTTTTATCAAGGGAGGCCAAATTCTCGCTGTCTTCCCTTGCATTCAATGCTACGGGCGGCAACAATATCATACTCTTTTTGACCAGACAGCATCAGATAGATGGGTTACACATACAGAGACAGAGGGGCGCTGTTTCTCTCGCTCGGATGCTTTCTCCAGTGAGATACATTCAACCTCTTGTGAATTGAAGGAAAATTATTAAACACAGAGAGACAAAATATATATTATATATTTTTTTCTTAGTCAATTATTTGGTGAATCCTGGCATATCTTGGCATCCATGAATACACACCACTGTTATAGTCATCTATACAGGTCATACATACTCCCATGGAAACATTTCAAATATTTTTTGACACATTACTCAAGAGGTAGCTCTGTTTGTAGTTAGTTTTATTTGGAACCTGTTTGCCTATTTGATACCCTGCCTGTTCTTTGCTGTCTGGATGGGGTCCAGTGTTTGTGAGGTTCTGTTCTGTTATGGTTACAGGGCAGGACATGGCCGCGGTGCAGAGAACCCTGATGGCCCTAGGAAGTGTTGCCCTCACCAAGGACGACGGACATTACCGTGGCGACCGAGACTGGTTCCACAGGTAAGGACTGGCCACGACCCCTTAATTGGGAAACTCTGTGAAAGTGTTATCTGAATGTTGTGTGAGTGTTCTACATCTCAACTCTCCTGTCTGTCCTGGTCTGTGTAGGAAAGCTCAGGGTTACCGGCGGGAGTTCTCTGAGGACCAGCTTCGTCAGGGCCAGAGTCTGATTGGTCTACAGATGGGCAGCAACCGCGGGGCCTCTCAGTCCGGCATGACGGGCTACGGATCGCACCGACAGATCATGTAGAGACACCAGCCAGCCGCTCAGCCAGCTGCTAGCCACTCCCTCAGCCTGGTGGTGTACTCCAGTTACTGGACCTCCAGAAGAGAGCTCCACCACACCTCCTGAACCTCATGAAATGACCCAACCACTTTTCCCCCTTCCCCAGCAGCACAAGCCATTCTCTCACACACACAAACACACACACACACATACACATACATACACATACACATTCACACACATATACACACACACACACATTTCTACTGTTCGCCCCCAACCCAAACAGTGTTCCTTATACCCCAACCACACCATGATTCCTACAGACGTCAGTGGTTTCTGCTTACCCCATCCCCGCTCTCCAGTCCTCCTTGGTCCTGCTCTCTCCATCCATATGGTCCTGCTAGCCATTCCCTTCAGTGGATGAAGTCTTAGTAATTCAGTCGATACAGAGAACCCAATATTGGAGTCGTCCTTCTACAAAACAAGCAAATAGTATTTTACACTACTACCAAATATAACAGCAAGACAACATTATAGCATGTTACATATTTAAATTATTTAACTCTTTGTTTGTTTGTTTGTACAGTAGATGTGTCCGAGTCATTGTATGGTCATGGAGGGTTTGCTTTACCTCATGATGTTTCATGTATAACCGAATGGAATCAATGAGCGATGATGCCTCTGCTGTCTTGTGTGAACATGTGAAGACTTTGCAGTAACTTCTGTAACCAGTAAAGGGACCTTAAACTATGCCTTGTATAAGAAATGTAACCCACCCTAATGCAGAGGAATTCATAGGCCTAAACTCAGTTCAGTTTTTTTTTACTAACGTTCTGTGCGGAACTAGAAGCACAAGCATTTCTCTACACTTGCAATAACATCTGTTAACCATGTGTATGTGACCAATACATTTGATTTGATTTGATTTATAACATATGTATAATTATAATGTATGTAACGTACATCTATGTGTCCATGTGTGTTTGAGCCAATCCCATGATTGTTAAAGAGCCACCTTGTATGAAAGTGACACTGGGATCATTCTGTTCCTGGCCTGATATTGCTTCTATTCTTTTTCTAATCTGTGAAATATACTAAAGTCATTGCTCTTGAACATCTTTATATTTGGTTGGCTAATATCTTTTCCAATGGATTTCCATCATCAGAGAAGTACCAGACTTCTAAGGAATGCTATCTGTGAAGATAATGTTGCTTAAAACAAACACTCCTCCTAGGCATTCCGTTGGGGTTAGGGATGGCTGTGTAGGTTCTAGAACACTAACCGGAAAGGTCAGAGTTTATGGCAATGGTGTAATTTATGGGGTCAAGCGTTTAACAACAATGCGCTGTTTATGTTTCAGATGCAGAAGACAAACACGCATGTGTTAACATCTCCCCATCCGGAGTGTCCCTTGTCTTGTGTTCTGTTGCTAATGATTTCAGCCGCTAACTAAGGGACATTTTATCATACATTGACATTCAAAAGAAATCACTGATGAAAAATTAGGCATCTGACATTCATCTTACTCTTTATCCCTGATACCCCCTTCACCTTTTAGTTTTAGGACCTCATTCGGGAGGAGCTAGACAGCCATCATACAGGCCAGGATTGAAATCCTGCATGTACAGTGGCTTGCGAAAGGATTCACCCCCCCCTTGGCATTTTTCCTATTTTGTTGCCTTACAACCTGGAATTAAAATGGATTTTGGGGGGGTTTGTATCATTTGATTTACACAACATTCCTACCACTTTGAAGATACAAAATATTTTTTCTTGTGAAACAAGAAACATTCACCCCCCCAAAGTCAATACTTTGTAGAGCCACCTTTTGCAGCAATTACAGCTGCAAGTCTCTTGGGGTATGTCTCTATAAGATTGGCACATCTAGCCACTGGGATTTTTGCCCATTCTTCAAGGCAAAACTGCTCCAGCTCCTTCAAGTTGGATGGGTTCCGCTGGTGTACAGCAATCTTTAAGTCATACCACAGATTCTCAATTGGATTGAGGTCTGGGCTTTGACTATGCCATTCCAAGACATTTCAATGTTTCCCCTTAAACCACTCGAGTGTTGCTTTAGCAGTATGCTTAGGGTCTTGTCCTGCTGGAAGGTGAACCTCCGTCCCAGTCTCAAATCTCTGGAAGACTGAAACAGGTTTCCCTCAAGAATTTCCCTGTATTTAGCGCCATCCATCATTCCTTCAATTCTGACTAGTTTCCCAGTCCCTGCCAATGAAAAACATCCCAACAGCATGATGCTGCCACCACCACGCTTCACTGTGGGGATGGTGTTCTCGGGGTGATGAGAGGTGATGGGTTTGCGCCAGACATAGCATTTTCCTTGATGGCCAAATAGCTCAATTTTAGTCTCATCTGACCAGAGTACCTTCTTCCATATGTTTGGGGAGTCTCCCACATGCCTTATTTTTTTCTTTAAGCAATGGCTTTTTTCTGGCCACTCTTCCGTAAAGCCCAGCTCTGTGGAGTGTACGGCTTAAAGTGGTCCTATGGACAGATACTCCAATCTCCGCTGTGGCGCTTTGCAGCTCCTTCAGGGTTATCTTTGGTCTCTTTGTTGCCTCTCTGATTAATGCCCTCCTTGCCTGGTCCGTGACTTTTGGTGGGCGGCCCTCTCTTGGCAGGTTTGTTGTGGTGCCATATTCTTTCAATTTTTTTTATAATGGATTTAATGGTGCTCTGTGGGATGTTCAAAGTTTCAGATATTTTTTTATAACCCAACCCTGATCTGTACTTCTCCACAACTTTGTCCCTGACCTGCTTGGAGAGCTCCTTGGTCTTCATGGTGCCGCTTTCTTGGTGGTGCCCCTTGCTTAGTGGTGTTGCAGACACTGGGGCCTTTCAGAACAGGTGTATATATACTGAGATCATGTGACACTTAGATTGCACACAGTTGGACTTTATTTAACTAATTATGCGACTTCTGAAGGTAATTGGTTGCACCAGATCTTATTTAGGGGTTTCATAGAAAAGGGGGTGAATACATATGCAGGCACCACTTTTCCGTTATTTATTTTGTAGAATGTTTTGAAACAAGTTCTTTTTTTCATTTCACTTCACCAATTTGGACTATTTTGTGTATATCCATTACATGAAATCCACATAAAAATCCATTTAAATTACAGGTTGTAATGCAACAAAATAGGAAAAACGCCAAGGGGGATGAATACATTTGCAAGGCACTGTACTACTACAGGGAAGTAACACAAAACACCACCATTTTGTTGCCTTGCTACCATCCCTATGGTAACATATACTGTAAGCTCAGCACAGTCCAAGCTGATCATTACCCTGCCAGAGAATGGGGAATATTCTAGAAGGGGACAGGTGATGTGGAACGGAGAGGGCTGGATAGACAGAATAAGTAACCTAAAATAGCCGTTATCCTTGTCGAACCAATGGGATGCCTGGCTTGGCAGTTGGCATGGTGATGTCACCAGCTTTCAAGTCCTTAGTAAGGTTTGTGTGGCCTTTTTCGGTGTCTTGGCTCTACAAACATTCAGCTGTGTTCATTCTCCTGCGCTCAGTTTGTATGCATGTGTCTGAATATATATGTGTGTGAGTGTGTATTGGACTTCATGTGTTGAGCTGGATTACCCTCTTCTGTATTGTGCATCAAGTGCTGAGAATACTCAATTGGACTGCTGTGAAGCGTTGGCCCTTGAGGGACAATGGTGTGGGTCAAACTCAGCGTCTCTCTCTTGCTCCTCCTGCTGGCTGTGAGATGCGTAGCACAGGAAGAACCCAAGAAGAACGGATGTGTTTGTGGACATCCAGGAATACCAGGAGACCCAGGCCACAATGGAATGCCAGGCCGAGATGGACGAGACGGGTTCAGAGGTGACAAGGGAGACCGAGGTAAGACTAAGGCACAACCTCCTCAGTGTTTTGCCGCGGTCATCCCCCTCTTCAAAGGGGCTGACACTCTAGATCCAAACTGTTACAGACCCATATCCATCCTGCCCTGCCTTTCAAACGTTTTTGAAAGCCAAGTTAACAAACAGATCACCGACCATTTCGAATCCCACCGTACCTTCTCCGCTATGCAATCCGGTTTCCGAGCTGGTCATGGGTGCACTTCAGCCACGCTCAAGGTCCTAAACGATATTATAACCGCGATCGATAATAGACAGTACTGTGCAGCCGTTTTCATTGACCTGGCCAAGGCTTTCGACTCTGTCAACCACCGCATTCTTATTGGCAGACTAAATAGCCTTGGTTTCTCAAATGACTGCCTCGCCTGGTTCACCAACTACTTCTCTGATAGAGTTCAATGTGTCAAATCGGAGGGCCTGTTGTCTGGACCTATGGCAGTCTCTATGGGGGTGCCACAGGGTTCAATTCTTGGGCCGACTCTTTTCTCTGTGTATATCAATGACGTCGCTCTTGCTGCTGGTGACTCTCAGATCCACCTCTACGCAGACGACACCATTTTGTATACATCTGGCCCTTCATTGGACACTGTGTTAACAAACCTCCAAACGAGCTTCAATGCCATACAACACTCCTTCAGTAGCCTCCAACTGCTCTTAAACACTAGTAAAACTAAATGCATGCTCTTCAACCGAACGCTGCTTGCACCCGCCCACCCGACTAGAATCACTACTCTCGACGGGTCTGACCTAGAGTATGTGGACAACTACAAATATCTAGGTGTCTGGTTAGACTGTAAACTCTCCTTCCAGACTCACATTAAGAATCTCCAATCCAAAGTTAAATCTAGAATCGGTTTCCTATTTCGCAACAAAGCCTCCTTCACTCATGCTGCCAAACATGCCCTCTTAAAACTGACTATCCTACCGATCCTTGACTTCGGCGATGTCATTTACAAAATAGCCTCCAACACTCTACTCAGCAAATTGGATGTAGTCTATCACAGTGCCATCCGTTTTGTCTCCAAAGCCCCATACACTACCCACCACTGTGACCTGTACGCTCTTGTTGGCTCGTCCTCACTACATATTCGTCGCCAAACCCACTGGCTCCAGGCCATCTATAAATCACTGCTAGGCAAATCCCCGCCTTATCTTAGCTCATTGGTCACCATAGCAACACCCACCCGTAGTATGCGCTCCAGCAGGTATATCTCACTGGTCATCCCCACCGCCATTCCTTCCAGTTCTCTGCTGCCAATGACTGGAACAAATTGCAAAAATCTCTGAAGCTGGAGACACTTATCTCCCTCACTAACTTTAAGCATCAGTTGTCAGAGCACCTTACCGATCACTGCACCTGTACACAGCCCATCTGAAATTAGCCCGCCCAACTACCTCATCCCTATATTGTTATTTATTTTGCTCATTTGTACCCCAGTATCTCTATTTGCACATCATCTCTTGCACATCTATCATTCCAGTGTTAATACTAATTGTAATTATTTTGCACTATAGCCTATTTATTGCCTTACCTCCATAACTTGCTACATTTGCACACACTGTATATATATTTATTTCTGTTGTATTTTTGACTTTGTTTTGTTTTACCCCATATGTAACTCTGTGTTGTTGTTTTTATCGCACTGCTTTGCTTTATCTTGGCCAGGTCGCAGTTGTAAATGAGAACTTGTTCTCAACTGGTTTACCTGGTTAAATAAAGGTGAAATAAAAATAAAAATAAAAAAAATAGCAAGGTCTCAATAGAAACCAGCCTTTCTGGTCCCATGCTGATGAGTTATTGAAAGTTCTTGGTCATTTTATTCATTAAAGGTGAAATCGGTGTCACTGGACCAACAGGACAGAGTGGCCCCATAGGAAACAAAGGGGATCTGGGTAAGACTGCATTTTATAATGAAAAATACTTTGTACAGTTATCACTACTGGCTTTCTCTGACAAGCAATATAAACATAATTCCTTTCTCCTTGCATCTGCAGGTACAGCTGGCCTGGCAGGAATTAAGGGCAGACGGGGTGAGAATGGAGAGAAGGGGCCACCAGGGAAGATGGGGCCCCAAGGAGTCTCAGGGCCCATGGGCCTCAAGGGCCAGAAAGGGGAGCTCGGGTTACCGGGAACCCAGGGGCCAAAAGGGGATTTGGGGCCTCTGGGACCTGAAGGGCAGAAGGGGGAGATCGGGCTCCAGGGAGACCGAGGCATCCAGGGGCCCTTGGGACCCCCAGGCCGACCAGGACCGAAGGGGAACCTCGGCCCCCCAGGGTTCAAAGGCAACATTGGTTACCGTGGAGAGCGAGGGAATCTGGGCGAGACAGGGGAGAAGGGAGAGAAGGGGGACACATTCTTCATCCCAAAAAGCGCATTCTCAGTGGGTTTAACTGAACACACCAAACTCCCACCGGCTAATGCACCGATCAGGTTCGACAAGGTGATCTACAACCGACAGGACCATTATGACCCACAGACCGGACGGTTCACCTGCGCTGTGGCTGGGGCCTACTACTTCACCTACCACATCACTGTGTTCTCCCGTAATGTTAAAGTAGCATTAGTGAGGAACGGAGTGAAGGTGATCCACACCATGGATAACTACCAGAGCAGTGAGGACCAGGCGGCAGGCGGAGCTGTGCTGCATCTGGAGAAAGGGGACAAGGTGTGGCTGCAGGTGGCTGGAGGAGAGCTCTTCAACGGGCTGTTTGCTGATGAAGATGATGATACAACCTTCTCTGGGTTCCTTCTCTTCGGTGCAGATTAGGGGTTAGGTCCACATGGCTCAGTGAAGTAACGTGGGAAAGTTACAATACCTTATTACCAACTGTTACATATTACTTTAATATGACTTTAATAGTCTATTGTGTACAGTAATTCTAGGCAATGACAAAAGCATTGTTTAAATGGTTTGTTATCAAATACAAATATAAACGAAACAACAATTGTGTGTAATATTTTGATGCTACAACTGATTTCACCTATCATTTAAGATCATCTCTCCTCTGATAACTCACCAAACTATGACATATTTACTGTGCCTGTAAGTGTTCTTGTATCTTGTGTGATTTCAATACACTGTAAACAGTTCACTGTGTTTTAATTTACTCCTATGTACAAAGTAGTAGGCTACAAAATTCTGAAGAATATATCAGCTGGTGTAATGTGATATGAATTTCTGGGTGCGGGCATGAATAGAAAACACTTAGGCATGAGGAAACAGGCTGAGCTTTGCAATGCCACAAACAACTGGAAGGTCCTGTACTTTTTCAAAGGCATGCCAAATGTCAGTGCCAGAAATGACGTCAGAGAAGAAGCTCGCATTTATTAATCCACGGCTGTTTTTTTTCAATGAAGCGCAACCTACTATGGGCGTGCTTCACTGCCGTGGTCACGTTTTGGTTAACTGTGATTGGCTTTTGGCGGTGTGGTCCTCTTTCCGTCAGACCGCAATTTTTTTTTAGCAAAACGTAGTTTGAGTGAATGTGGGGTCGTCACTAGTTACCACAACCACAAAGTCATAAACCCCAACTATTTCTACAATTTCTCGTCTTGATGTGATTATTGTGATGAATGTGATTTTAAACATTTAATCCTAACCACACTGCTAACCTTATGCCTAACCCTAACCTTAAATGAAGACCAAAAAGCTCATTTTTGTTTTAATTAATTTGTAGGATATAGCCTATTCTGACTTCGTGGCTGTGGTAACTAGTGGAAACCGTGAAGGTCGAACGCAAACTCCACCCCCAACAAGTGTACTGATGCTGGCCACAGAAACGACAGCTCGAGCTGCAAAGAATCGAGCAACCTCACACACTTGAGTATGAGTACCAACGGATTTCTGAGGTTGCTTGAACAACTTTTTTAGTTATTGACTCCCTCTTTTCCCATTTATTCACTTGCATAACCAACGCTGGATGTTTTGTCGCCCGCAACCTTTTACCAAGCCAGCTTTCAGTTTTGTAAATATTTTAGAACTTATCGGTTAGCTAGCCAGCTAACTAGCCTACTGTTAGATGTTGCAAGGTGCCACAGCCATTTGTCACGAGATGTTGCAAGCCAGTTTATCCAGCAGTAGCCCGCAACTTCCGACATGTTTTCGTGTGTAATCATCGATTGCAGGACCCAAAAGACATTTGGACCTCCAAGTAGCTTGCTAACCCTTTTTGTAAAGCGTTTATCGATTATGGCTATTTAATCAACAAAAATAGCTACTGCTCTGTTGATGAGAAATACCGGTGGCACAGGACAACATCAACGACAATGAGAAGGGTAAGTTAAGCAAACGTAACCAACTTGCAGATGAATGCAATATCAATGTGTTGCGTCATAAACAAATGTATGGCTAATATCAAACGGGTAAACTTTTTTTTTGTGGATCGGGTAAACTTTTTTTTTGTGGATACAAATGTGTCATTCACAGTCAATATTGATTAAATTTGTTTGGGTTCTAGCATTGGTTTGTTCCTTTAACGTTAACGAAAAAGAGGGGGATTATTGTAGTGCATTACTCCCCTGGTTGTTATAGTGATGTAGGGGATGCCATTCTTTGGGAGCTGAGGGGTGGGGGTCTCGGTCAACTACGAAGTAAGAGGTTTATGCCGAAACTAAGTTAATTAAATACACAAATAAATGAGCACTTTTTCCTCGGGGGTGTTTTGCTGGCTTACGCGAAAGAACAGGAACAAAATGGTCCTCTGTGGCTCAGCTGGTAGAGCACGGCGCTTGTAACGCCAAGGTAGTGGGTTCGATCCCCGGGACCACCCATACACAAAAAATGTATGCACGCATGACTGTAAGTCGCTTTGGATAAAAGCGTCTGCTAAATGGCATATTATTATTATTATTATTATTATTATAAAATCGCCTTTACCATCTAATTCTCCAGCTCTTTTTCATTTTGAAACATTCCCTGTTATACTTATACTTACTTTTTAGTATGAATTTGTAGGAGTAGTAGATTGTTTTCCAGAGAATTACATATTTGTAGGATTCCAACTAGCACGCGCCCATACACCAGGGAGATGGAATACCAGAACAGTTCTATCTCTATGGATGATGGAACGCCAGGTGCAGGTGCACATTCGGGCAAGTGTTCTATACTGTGTCAGGGGAAACACTTAATGTCAGCAAGATGTTCTGTTGTTCAGTAGTATATCTGAACATATCACACAAACTTTGCTATTTCATTCCAGTATTCAAGTATCCACATATACTGAACAATAATATATAGGCAACATGCAACAATTTCAGTTCATATAAGGAAACCAGTCAATTGAAATAAATAAATTAGGTCCTAATCTATGGGATTTCACATGACTTGGCAGGGGCACAGCCATGGGTGGACCTGGGAGGGCATAGGCCCACCCACTGGGGAGCCAGGCCCAGCCAATCAGAATGAGTTTTTCCCCACAAAAGGGCTTTATTACAGACAGAAATACTCCTCAGCACCCCCCTGACGATCCCACAGGTGAAGAAGCTGGATGTGGAGGTCCTCGGCTGGCGTGGTTACACGTGGTCTGCGGTTGTGAGGCTGGTTGGACGTCCTGCCAAATTCTCTAAAACAACATTGGAGGCGGCTTATGGTAGAGAAATCAACATGAAATACTCTGGCAACAGCTCTGATGAACATTCCTACAGTCAGCATGCTAATTGCACGCTCCCTCAAAACTTGAGACATCTGTGGCATTGTGTTCTTGATATGCCACACCTGTCAGGTGGATGGATTATCTTGACAAAGGATAAAATGCTCACTAACAGGGATGTAAAAAAATTTGTGCACACAATTTGAGAGAAATAAGCTTTTTGTGCGTATGGACATTTTCTGGGATCTTTTTTTCAGCTCATGAAACATGAGACCAACACTTTACATGTTGTGTTTATATTTTTGTTCAGTGTATTTACACTGGTATAGGAGACTGTTTCTGTTTCACACAGTTGTAATTCCACTCCAGTCACAGGAGTGGCAGTTACATGGAGTGCTTATGTTTGAACTTTGCCTCATATAAATGTCCTTGTTCTCAGAGAAGCTTATGTCAAAGGTCAATCAGTGGGATTGATTTGATACCCAGCTATAACTGGTTCTGTCTCATCCTGGAAAGAGGTTGCCCGGGCCCCTCAAGGGTTAGTAACTTCACCCCCCACTAACTATATGTGCAGTGTCCCAGACCCGTTTTACTGCTGGCTATTTGTATGTAGCCCACATCTGTAGAATGCTAGTGTCTTGTTAGGTCAGATATTTGTGTGTTTAGCATTCCTACAAGTCCTAGTGTTCATAGTAGTGTTTTGTCCTGTGTTAGCTGTGGTTGGTGTTGGGTTTCCCATTAAGGGCTTTCTGACAGACCACAGACATATATCTGGTGCGTGAATGAATGAGACGGAGAAAGTGGGTGACACTCTTCGCAATACCTGGCTTCCCACAATCAAAGGGGGGCGCGGTCTCTCTGTATTCCCTCTGTCATTGGACAAAAAGAAGAGGAACTGGGCCATTGTGAGATATGAGACTTCAACAAGCTGGCAACACGCAACAGGTGCCTAGTTAGGAGGGTGTAATGTTACAGAACATTCAGACAGAACTAGGCTATATTGTGTAGATAAAATATACATTCTACTTTGCTACAGAGAATAGGCTATCGTGTCAGCTGCTCTATACAGGTCACTTCTATCTGCAACATCCTGAATGTCTAGGAGTAGGCCACTGCTTGTTCACACACAGGACTCGGCCTGAGCTAGTCAGACTAGCCACCTGAAATGCCAAACAACTGGGAAATAGGACATCCTGGCATGTCTTCAGAGATGAGTGAATCTGAACAGCACCAGGTTTAGAATGAATTCTTGTGAACAAGCACACAGACAAGGCTGCCAGGTCCCAATCTCTGGAAATCACTTTCTCAGAATGTAGATGAGGTTCGGTTCCGTTGCATAGGCTAGATGAGTTAGAGACAGTGTAACAGTTACAAAGACTAGACTATGTGATGGGGAGGAAAGTGCATTCTTCTGTCTTCCTCTTTCCCTACCTAATAGTAGATCAATCTACTATTGACACTGTGCAGGCTCTCTCTCTGTGTGAACTAGAGATTCCATCAGATTCCTTGTATAGATGGCATCCAGTGATAATAGTTAGTATTCAACTTTATATAGCCTAGTAACACACATGGTTCTAAATTCCATGTGATTTTACATGGATCCACCAATATAGCGGAATAATCACGTTATCCATTCCAATAATCTGGAGTCTATAGAGTGGGATTTCAGCAGCTGTAGAGTGGTCCTAAGGTCCTCTGTAGCTCAGCTGGTAGAGCACGGCGCTTGGAACGCTAAGGTAGTGGGTTCGATATCCGGGACCACCCATACACAAAAAAAATAATATGCACGCATGACTGTAAGTCGCTTTGGATAAAAGCGTCTGCTAAATGGCATATTATTATTAGTAAGGCTTCCCTGACTTAAGAGTACTATAATGTATGACTAACTCATAGTGTATGTTGCTGACTAGTAGTCTTAATGGCTGCGCCGTAGATGAAACCAGTGCTGCACAGACTGGTAAAGCCCCTTAATCTGATTAGTCCTGGGAGAGGAACACACACACACAGATACACACAGATACATGCTGGACGGGGCTTGGTGATGGGAGCCATTCGTGTTTCCTTCAACATTTCCTCAGAGAAACTCAGCTTCTCTTTGGACCACAGACTGGTGAGTTTTACACGCACGCGCACACACACACACACACACACACACACACACACACACACAGAACCACCCTTTGTGCTGTCCACTTATGTCTGTTTCATGCTGCGTGGTCCCATGGTGTTTATACTTGCGTACTATTGTTTGTACAGATGAACGTGGTACCTTCAGGCGTTCGGAAATTGCTCCCAAGGATGAACCAGACTTGTGGAGGTCTACAATTCTTTATCTGAGGTCTTGGCTGATTTCTTTTGATTTTTCCATGATATCAAGCAAAGATGCACTGAGTTTGAAGGTAGGCCTTGAAATACATCCACAGGTACACCTCCAATTGACTCAAATGATGTCAATTAGCCTATCAGAAGCTTATAAAGCCATGACATAATTTTCTGTAATTTTCCAAGCTGTTTAAAGGCACAGTCAACTTAGTGTATGTAAACTTCTGACCCACTGGAATTGTGATACAGTGAATTATAAGTGAAATAATCTGTAAACAATTGTTGGAAAAATTACTTGTGTCATGCACAAAGTAGATGTCCTAACCGACTTGCCAAAACTATAGTTTGTTAACAAGACATTTGTGGAGTGGGTGAAAAACTAGTTGTAATGACTCCAACCTAAGTGTATGTAAACTTCCAACTTCAACTGTACGTCTCAGAGTGGCTAACATGGAAGGTCTCCTACATGCATATCAGAGTGGCTAACATGGAAGGTCTCCTACATGCGTATCAGAGTGGCTAACATGGAAGGTCTCCTACATGCGTATCAGAGTGGCTAACATGGAAGGTCTCCTACATGCGTATCAGAGTGGCTAACATGGAAGGTCTCCTACATGCGTATCAGAGTGGCTAACATGGAAGGTCTCCTGCATGCGTATCAGAGTGGCTAACATGGAAGGTCTCCTACATGCGTATCAGAGTGGCTAACATGGAAGGTCTCCTACATGCGTATCAGAGTGGCTAACATGGAAGGTCTCCTGCATGCGTATCAGAGTGGCTAACATGGAAGGTCTCCTACATGCGTATCAGAGTGGCTAACATGGAAGGTCTCCTACATGCGTATCAGAGTGGCTAACATGGAAGGGACAAACGGGATAAACAATTCTCTCATTCTTTCACAATTTCAATAAGTTGTAGTGTGTTAACAGTTATTTACCCTGAACGTGTTTGTCTCTCTGGTCAGGACACTGTTAAACCTGGCTTGCTAGATTCGATCTCTCAGATAACAACAGACAACCTGTAAACGAGCAGGCTGAGCAGCTTACCATAGAATCATGGCAGTGTTAATGCTTTTGGGGAGGTTCTGTCTGGGTTCCATGGCTTAGCTACCAAATGAGAGAACTGCTAGAGAAGTGCCTTTCCCTTAATATTCTCTGTCTAGCCGTCTATTTAGTTTAACTCTCCGTTTATATTTCTGCCCAATTAGCCTGAGCCTGGCCCGGGGCAGGACATGACTCTGCTCTGTGTAGGTGAATTGGGGGCTGGAGTTTACTAATGATTACAGGTTTATGACCCCTTACATAAGTCTGTGACTTTACCAACCCAAAGAGAAGGTAGTTGATGACCAAGAGAATGTGCACCTCCCTCCCTGTCCCCTACTGCAGGGTTTCCCAGTGTGTGTGTATAGGTCTACACAGTCTTCAACAGTATGTGTGTATGTTTTTCAAAAAATTGTGGGCCGTCTTAGTGTATTTGTGTGTGTGTGTAGCCCCAGTCCTCCTCTCTCTGGGAGTCTAATCAGAAGCTAGCTCCAGCTGGCAGCCGTGTGGGGGGGCTCCTCTGCTCTCCTCTCTCTGAGCTCTTAATTAACTCTGGGCCTGAGAGCCAGAGCACCGCTTGCTCCCAGACTTCACATGCAACCATGCGGGAACACTGACCTGACCTGTAGTAGCACCACTGGAAAAGTAGCCCCAGAGAAGCACTCTCATACAGCTTCCATATTGTTGAAGCATAACTTGAAGGAAAAATCCACTCAAAACCACTTATTCCTTTAATGTGCAGTGTTAAATAACACTAATATGTGAGAACAATATTTTTTGTGAACAAATGTTTCATTTTGGCATTATAATAAGGTTGGTATCAACATGGGAAATCATTGTGGAAATCTGTTGCAGCTCAAGTAAACTACAAAATCCACAATGCAATGCTCTCTCTATGGGCTGGCTGGCTCACAACGGCAGATATACTTTTGATGAGATGGGAAACGTTGCCCATGCTACGTCAATGGGCCGCATGGTGCATTCTGGGCGATTCTGGGTCAAGGAGCGCTCTCCTTCAAGGAGTGAATGGGAGTCTATTGGGCGCTAGCTCAAAAACCCAAGATTAGCACGAATTTCGTCAACAAGAAGTACAACATTACAAATCTTTTCCGAGATGTGAGATAATGAACTTGCTATCTGAAGTATCGCATAGCTTTGGAAACATGACATTACGTACTTTCGAGGAAAATAGGCACGTTTCTCGACATATACACTGACTTTGAGAAGGGATTACGTGACGATTATCTTAGCAACCGTGTGACGCAGCATGACAACATGAACGTGATAGGTCGACAGTCTGCTGGGTGGGACGTTGTACGTTCCTTCATCCATTGGATTCCTATCTCCTTTCTATAATATCTCTGGCAACTGCACCATGCAATGCACCCTGGACTAAAGAGGCAGACAAATAGGAAAAATGTGATAGACCAACCGTTAAATTACACATTTCTTGAGGTAGGAATATTGCAAAAATATGATCAATGGCTCATTTGAGAGAAGACATCCTCCTGAGTCAGTATTGAAATCTGACATCGTTTTCGCGATCTAAAAGTTGTATTCCCATTAACTTACGGTGTAGTGAGAGCAAAAAGGCAATTTCAGAATGTGGGAGGGACATGTCCCCCCCGTCCCCAGTGAAAGTTGCACCCCTGGAGGTTCCACTGTTCTACACAGCTTATTGTGCTGGCCAGGGTAAAGCTACACACACTCATTTAGTTGATCTCTAGATTTGAGGTACTGGCAGGCAGTAACTCCAACTCCTTTGAAACCGAACCCTGTGGTGTATCCTGCCTAGTGTAGCAGGTCCCAACTGGGTTGTGAATGTTGGCGCAAGGCATAGGGGTAGTGGGCATTGTGCAAGGTAGAGTTGGCAGAGTGGAGCGGGTGGTAGGTTAGGAAGATAAGATCAGTTTATGAGGTAATACATTGGATAGAGGACTGCCTTGGTGTGCCTGTTCAGTGCTAGAGTAGTCTCTTTCATTCACCAACATTGTTTTACTGGAGTACCTAGAAGCCTTCAAGGGTGGTGGCAAGGCTAGTACGAGTGGAGTAGGAATGGTGATGGTGATTTTCTTCTGTTTAGTGATGGAACGAGGTTGGTGAACTGTCAACAGAGAAGAAGGTTTAGCATTGAGATAATCCATATGGTGGAAGAGAATGCTAACAGCACGTAGTCTAACTCTCACTCACTGGAGCTAGAGAGGGAGTGGAAAAGCTCTGAGCAGGTCTGGCCAGACAGAGGCAGTCTAATCTATGATAGGCAAGTTAGGTCCTCCATGTAGTATGAATGTCCTGAAATTTTGCCATTAAATCTGTATTTGATTAAAAGGTCTATAGCGGAGCCACTGTAAGTCAATTGGGTCAGTGTGAAACTACTCAGATCTCAGGATGGAGATGGAGAGGCAGGGATCACACCCCCTCTCCCCCTCTTTCCCTCTCTCACCTCTCTCCATCTGCCAAATCTGGAGAACATGGGCAATTTGTTGCATTAATCACAATGGATTAGTGATTCTCATTGCTTAGTCATGCTCACAAAGCCCCTCATCAAAGACTGGCCTGCATTAACCGCTGCCCTACACACACACACACACACACACACACACACACACTGGTGCCCACTGCTCCTTGGCCATAGAAAATACACACCGCCAAGGAGAAATATACACTGAACAAAAATATAAACGCAACGTGCAACAATTTCTACGATTTGTACTGAGTTACAGTTCATATAAGGAAATCAGTCAACTGAAATATATTAATTAAGCCCTCATCTATGGAATCCACATGACTGGGAATACAAATATGCATCTGTTGGTCACAGATACTTTTAAAAAAGCCCACTGAAGTCAGTTACGATGCCGAACTGCAGTCAGGTCAAGACCTTGGTGAGGATGACGAGCACGCAGATGAGCTTCCCTGAGACATTTTTCTGACAGTTTGTGCAGAAATTATTTGGTTGTGCAAACCAACAGTTTCAGCAGCTGTCCGGGAGGCTGGTCTCAGACAATCCCGCAGGTGAAGAAACCGGATGTGGAGGTCCTGGGCTGGCATGGTTACATGTGGTCTGTGGTTGTGAGGCCGATTGGACGTACTGTCAAATTCTCTAAAACGATGTTGGAGGCGGCTTACGGTAGAGAAATGAACATTGAATTCTCTGGCAGCAGCTCTGGTGGACATTCCTATAGTCAGCATGCCAATTGCACGCTCCCTCAACTTGAGACATCTGTGGCATTGTGTTGTGTGACACAACTGCACATTTTAGTGGCCTTTTATTGTCCCCAGCACAAGGTGCACCTGTGTAATGATCATGCTGTTTAATCAGCTTCTTAAATATGCCACGCCTGTCAGGTGGCTAGATTATCTTGGCAAAGGAGAAATGCTCACTAACAGGGATGTAAATAAATTTGTGCACAAAATCTGAGAGAAATAAGCTTTTTGTGCGTATGGAAAATGTCTGGGATCATGAAACATGGGACCAACACTTTACATGTGGCGTTTACATTTTTGTTCAGTGTACATAGGATAGCTGTCACAGAGAGAGAGACTCCCAGACACGGTCTTCCTCTTTCTCGCTCTCTTATTCTTTCACTCAAAGCTCAGAAACACATGCTATTGACAAAGGAGAGCAATTTTTTCTTGCACTCACATATACACAAAGGTTTAGGTCACTATACTTAGTCAGCAATAATACCGTACTCCACTCAAGATACATTTTATTCATACGTCACAGCAACATACACATTTGCACAGTCATAAATGCATAGTAGTTATTGGCTAAACCTTACACTGGCAGTGGCACCCATTCATTTGTAATATACAAATAATTAGGCCTACTTTACTTTTTAGCATGAAGTCATAGTGTTTATTTGCTTTTGTTTCTTTGAATTACATTCTGAATTCGAAGTGTGTTTTTATGTGCCTCTGTAGCTGCCTCTGGTGTAAATCACTTCCTGAAAGTCCTTTCGAGTGGACAGTGTACACCTCACATGTGTGCCACCTTCAGGGCTGTGTGTATGGTAGCGGGCAGTCTAGTGTTAAGGCAGTCTGTATGGTAGCGGGCAGTCTAGTGTAAAGGCAGTCTGTATGGTAGCGGGCAGTCTAGTGTTAAGGCAGTCTGTATGGTAGCGGGCAGTCTAGTGTAAAGGCAGTCTGTATGGTAGCGGGCAGTCTAGTGTTAAGGCAGTCTGTATGGTAGCGGGCAGTCTAGTGTTAAGGCAGTCTGTATGGTAGCGGGCAGTCTAGTGTAAAGGCAGTCTGTATGGTAGCGGGCAGTCTAGTGTAAAGGCAGTCTGTATGGTAGCGGGCAGTCTAGTGTTAATGGTAACGGGCAGTCTAGTGTTAATGGTAACTCTGGCTGAGTTGTACTAGTGTGCTTTTTTAAGGATAGGCTAAAGAAACCGCTCTTATTTTCACTTGCACAAGTTCTCTGTGTTTTAGAATGGTAATAAAACATTGAAATCAAAGTGCCTTTCAAAACAACCAAGGACACTGTAGTAAGAAGTGTAATATAAAGTTATGATATGTTATAAAACAAGATGTTACATGTCTTGTCTCTTTAGGCGGGGCAGAGCGATGGAGCCCCGTCCACCAGCGATGACTCCCTCTCTTGCCGCCATGGCTCCTCCGCCGACCCTGACCTTCAACCTCTAGCCCGGCCCCGACCCCCTGGCGACCTTTACCCTATCCAGGGTAATGTGGAGGGGGCGACGCCCCCGTCCCTGCTGTCTGGGTGTGGTGCCCAGGTACAGCCGGTGACCTCTGACCCCCACAGTGAGGAGAGTAGACTGAACGGGCTCAACATGGCCGCCTGGTCCAGCCCTGTGATAAGCCACCCTGAGATAAAGCCCTACCCCTCCAGGATCATGAGGCTCTTCTCTACCCAGAGGAAGTTCACCGTTCCTGGGGACAGTCCGGGCCCTACCAGGCCCCTCTCCTTCCAGGGCCCTCCATCCAGTGCCGGGGGCCCGCAGGCTTTGCCAGGCCTGTCAGGGCTGGCCGTCATGGGCTCCTTTAAGAAGCTGCGCTCCTCAGTGCTCCAAGGCATCCAGAACCGAGGGACAGCCAATCTGGATGGAGAGTACATCTCAGCAGCCAACCAGGGTGGAGATAATGGAATGGTCACAACCAATCAGAGCCTAAGACTAAGGTGTGGGGAGGGCTATAGAGTGTCCAATGGGGTTGGGATGAGCCCTTATGGTTCTGACAATGAAAAAGAGGAGGAGGAGGTAGTAGATGAGGAAGATGGACTGCAGAGAAACACACGCTTCTCTAGGAGTATTCGGAGAGCGTATGGGGCGGGGCGCATCTCACTGCTGGTCACCGGGCAGAACCAGAACGGGGAACGAGGGGAGGCTCCAGAACAGGGGGTTTCAACCAATCAGAGGCCAGTTTTTGGCTCCGGTTCAGGGTCAGAGGTGAACCTCCATTCGGAGGAGAGTGTGAATGTCAACGTGCTGAGCAGACTGAGCAAGAGCGCAGACAACCTACACCTCTTTAAGACCCCTTTCAGACGCAAAGCCCCTTCTCCCTCTCCCTCTCCGATAAACTCACCAGGTACCGATGGCTCTGTAGGGGCCAATGGGGGCCCCAGCATACAGAGATCAGCCAGTGCCTCGTCCGTGGACCTTAGGGACCGCAGCCAGAGCCCTGGACGCCTTAGGAGTCCCCTAGGGGCCAAGGGCCACATGTTGAAGCTAGTGGGCAGCATGACTGACCTGACCGTGAGACGCAGGCCTAACCCGTCCCCCGTCACTTCCTCAGGCTCCCCCGTGACTCCCCTGTCCCCCCTCAGCCGTCTCCACGACGACTACTCCCGCCGCACGCCCTGCCTTCCCGCCAGCGACCGTCAACGGCGGCCCTCGCCCGCCAGGACCAGGAACGTCACTCCGGTATCACTGGAACACACGCCAACCGTCCACCCCCAGGAAGGACCAGACCATGTCTTCAGTTTCCCAACCTATAGTGAACCTCTCGCTACAACCTCATCTCCCCTGAGGAGCAGCCTGTGTGAGGGGGGCAGGTCTCAGGAGGGACGGGGAGACGGGTGGAGAGCACAGTGTGACTCCGCTCCACTCCCCCAGGGGGAGCCCTATGAGAGCCACAGCAAACACAAGCCGGAGGTCAACGCAGAGGTCAAGACGGAACCAAAGCAGGTAAGAGAATACTTTGATGCTCCAATCTGCTACACTGGCTCAGTCCTACTGTAGTGCTTTGGAATGGTTGGACTACTGATCTGAAAGGCATCAGGTGAAAGCGATATGCTGGTAGTGACACCATCATTTTATCACATATTCCTATTGATCAGCGGGCTCAAAGGGAAGGATATTGGGTAATTTGGGGAGTAGGTTTTAGATAGTGAAAAGTCGTCATGGGGGTGAAGGCAGACAGTCTCATCCTTATCAATTGGAGCCGAATGATCCGTTGTAAGGCCTTTATCCTAATAATTTGATCTTCTGGCAGTGACCTTTGTCTTATGAAATGGAACGTAGCAGTGGAGGTATCTGGTGGTTTATGAAGGGATCTTTCATTGGTCTCTTAAAGTCATTTAGATAAGTGAGTGGAGGCGCGTGTCTCTAGCTTACCAAAGAATCCAAAGCTTGCATGCCCCAGCCTAGTCCAAAGTTCCTGTCCAACATGATTGGTCAAGTCAGTTGTCAATCAGGCTCTACAGCCTAGCTGATTGGCCCCAGCCCCGTGTCACATCTACTGTCACTTTCTCTGTGTGTTATAAGCGTCGGTCTAGTGTATTTGTCCACACTGTGATTGCGTGACTCCCAGCAGCGTCACGTGTAGGCCAGCTGTAGAGGCCATCCACTCTGAAGGAGCAGAACAGGCACAGTTAATCATTAGGTATTGTTTATGATTGGTGGTGGGATTGGTTGCGTAAGCAAGCAGGGCTCCCGTTCCAGTGTGCTATGGCTGGCTGGCTGGTTATCAGTAAGAGCAATGCTGTCCTCTCCCCTCCTTCTCCCAAGCCCTCCCTTCCCCACTCTGCCCTCAACGACAGGCAGGCAGGCAGGCCACAGGGACAAAGTCCACTAGTCACGCTGGGCCTTGGAGAGTTTACAGAGAGAGATCTAGGAAAATGCTACCGACACAACCAGGAATAATACACTGTCTGGGTTGTTAGAGGACTGAAGATTGATCAGAAGAGTGGTTTATTTGATTGAGGACCATGATGGCAGATTTGAGTTGATAAGATGGAGAGAAAGGAGCTGATTTTCATTGCTTGAAGAGAGAGAAGCAGGCAGGGGAACGTGTAGTAGAGGACTAAAGGAGAGGGAGACCCAGGCCTCGGGACAGAGGCCTGTGAGTGTGTTGTTTGACCATGGTGCTGATCCACTGTGTACCTTTCCAGTGCATATGGACCAGACCAGCCCAAGATCAGGAGGAGCAGGAGGTAAGAGAACATCTCTCTCTTCTGACAAACCAATACCAATGACAAACAAACTGAACCAGTTCAGTACACAGTATAGTAGTAAGCTCTCTGGTCAGTTACAGACAAACCACATCCTTTCGAATGGGCAGAAATGTGTTCTCTTCTGTCGCTCCTCCTTGTGTTTACACATACAATTTGATAAGACTTTTTACATTTCTTGAGGTGATGTGATATGGGAAAAGAATGTGCAAAGATAAATATTCCATATTAGTGACATTAGTACTGACCTTCCACATTTGACACGTCAGTTAAACAACATGCTCTGTTTTTGATTAACAGACGTTCTTTCCTGAGGATGTGTTAAATGTTAGGAGCAGGCGTTGTGGGACATCTCATTGACCTTTCACCTTTTCTCTTACCCTCAGGGCACGTCAGACGAACAGGGCAGAGAGGCACTATTAAAGGGTGAAGAGAAGCCCTCTCCTTCAGCCACCGGTACCCCTCTCACCCAAACATGTTCCCTAGACTCTCCCACATCACCCATGTCACCTACATCATCCACGGCAACAGGCGCAACGGAAACATCCACGTCCGTCACCCCCAGGCGGAGGACGGGCCGATCGAGGCCTCGGCCAATCTCTGACTACGCTCAGCTGGTTGCCAGGAAGTACGCCATCCCCGAGGAGGAGGTGGAGCTACATCCTGAGGAGAGGACTACAAATGGAACTCCCTGTCAGGACTTCAAAAGTAATGGAGGCTCGCAGGACAGAGACAGCCCAGAGAATTACAATATGAATGGAGATCTCCAGTGCCGGAGGAGACGGCCCATGTCTGTGATTGGAGGAGTGGATCTGTACGCTTCAGCTGGACCTGAGGAGAGAGAGGACCGCCTGCCCTCTGTAAGCACCTCACTGTTAAACAATGGCTAGATATACTGAGATAAAATAAAATAAAATACAATTTTATTGGCCACATGCGCCGAATACAACAGGTGTAGACATTACAGTGAAATGCTTACTTACAGCCCTTAACCAACAGTGCATTTATTTTTTATAAAAAAGTAAAATAAAACAACAAAAAAGTGTTGAGAAAAAAAGAGCAGAAGTAAAATAAAATAACAGAGAGATTTGTAACACCTGTTATATTCCAGAGGAAATGCCCAGTATGTCAAATAATGTCCTGTTTGTGATTGACGTGCAAAACCCCTGGACGTTCCCAAAGGCCCCTAACACTGTCCTCTCCATGTCTCTCTAGCCCCTCTCACGCCCCCCTGTCCCGTCCCACCAGGTGCCCTCCTACAGGGCGGTGTCGGCCAGGTTTCGCCCCTCCACCTTCTCCCAGAGCACCCCCATCGGACTGGACCGCCTCGGACGACGCAAACTACACAGAGTCCTCAGTGGTACGGGAGGGAGTGTGTGTGAAAGGGAGGAGGGAGTGTGTGTGAAAGGGAGGAATAAAGATGGCGAGAGCATGTTTGTGTGTGAAAGGGAGGAATAAAGATGGAGAGAGCATGTTTGTGTGTGAAAGGGAGGAATAAAGATGGAGAGAGCATGTTTGTGTGTGAAAGGGAGGAATAAAGATGGAGAGAGCAGGTCTGTGTGTGAGAATGAGGAATAAAGATGGAGAGAGCAGGTCTGTGTGTGAGAGGGAGGAATAAAGATGGAGAGAGCAGGTCTGTGTGTGAAAGGGAGGAATAAAGATGGAGAGAGCAGGTCTGTGTGTGAAAGGGAGCAATACAGATGGAGAGAGCAGGTCTGTGTGTGAGAGGGAGGAATAAAGATGGAGAGAGCAGGTCTGTGTGTGAGAATGAGAGGAATAAAGATGGAGAGAGCAGGTCTGTGTGTGAGAGGGAGGAATAAAGATGGAGAGAGCAGGTCTGTGTGTGAGAATGAGATGCTGAGTGGGGTAGATTATCTGTAAAAGAAGAGCAAAGCAGAGGAGAGCTTTGAAAGTTACTGTGTGAAATGAAAGTGTGTTTACCATCTTTCCAGAGTGTAATGTGTAGAGCAGGGTTCCCCAACTGGCGGCCCGCCGGTGGTTTTATTTGTCCCCCCAAGTTTTTTTCATTTTGTTTTCATTGTTGGACATAAAAGACTAAAACAGCAGGAAATCAGCTCCAAGTGATTTCAATGTAAGAAATCTGTTCCCAAGTATTCCCATGCATAATAGAGTGAAACGTGATCGAATACAAATGTAAGCAATGTTTGAAGTGATTATGTTTTAGTCAAACATTATATCTGTTTGGGCTACTTGCGGTCAATTTGCCTTCTACAAATTATTTGTAATCATGTCGCGGCCCCCCGACCATCCTCTCAGGAAAAAATCGGCCCACGGCTGAATCTAGTTGATGATCCCTGGTGTAGAGAGTGCTGTTATGTTTGTGTGTGTGTGTGTGTGAGAGCATGTCTGATGTGTGTAACTGTACTAACTCTCTCCTCCCCACAGCAGACGGAGGCTCAGAGTGTTGTGCAGCGGTGGATGGTGACAGTGTGAGTGAGGAGGAGGGGAGCTTCGATGAGCTCAGTGATGTCACAACGTACCTGCAGCCTGGGGTGGGGCTGTCTGCTCTCAGCCAGGTGAGCTTTTTATCTACCTGCCTGCCTGTGTGTTAACCTGCAGGATTTGTTCAGCATCGCCAATGTTCTGCAACCGTTCCTGGCAACAGATGGAACCAATGTTCCCTCAAAAAAAGGTCTGCTGAGCGCAAACTTGAATGCTGGGAAAATTCAGTGCAACTTTCAGCGTGCGTTTACTGTGAACACTGAGGCTGTACCCGCTTTAAGTTACTGTTATAACAGTGACCAAGTAGGCTGCTGTGGCTATTTTATCATAATGTAGGCCTAACAGAGTGGCCTATCATCAAAAACAATGGAGAAAATGCATCCCATAACATTTTAACATGGAAATAGCTGTTCTATCATTCAGCCTACAGTAGCAGCCAATGTGTGGTGTTCAATGTAGGTGTACATTCCATGAGACTTTTGAAAAAACTAAACATGCAGGGCTTGACATTAACCTTCAGATAAGGAGGTGACTGAAAATGTTGTGTTGTTTGATGCAAGAAACCACTTTACAAAATAAAATACATTATTATTCCCATACCATTATTACAGAGAATCAGACAAATGATGCTGCCTATTGGCTACTTAGCTTATTCAAGCCTGTCTCAAAATACAAATCAAATTTTATTGGTAACATACACATGTTTAGCAGATGTTATTGCAGTTTTAACGAAATGCTTGTGTTCCTAGCTCCAACAGTGCAGTAGTATCTAACGGCAGGTAGCTTAGAGGTTAAGAGCGTTGTGCCAGTAACCAAAAGGTCGCTGGTTCTAATCCCCGAGCCGACTAGGTGAAAAATCTGTCGATGTGCCCTTGAGCAAGGGACTTAACCCTAAATTGCTCCTGTAAGTCGCTCTGGATAAGAGCGTCTGCTAAATGACTAAAATGTAAATGTAAAATTCACAACAATACACAAATCTAAAAGTAAAAGAATGGAATTAAGAAATATATAACTATTAGGACAAGCAATGTCGGAGTGGCATTGACTAAAATACAGTAGAATAGAATACAGTATATACATATGAGATGAGTAAAGCAGTATGTAAACATTATTAAAGTGACTAGTGTTCCATTATTAAAGAGGCCAGTGATTCCATGTCTGTATACAGGGCAGCAGCCTCTAAGGTGCAGGGTTGAGTAACCTGCTGGTAGCCGGCTAGTGATGGCCTTTTAACAGTATCATGGCCTTGAAATAGAATATGTTTTTCAGTCTCTCGGTCCCCGCTTTGATGCACCTGTACTGACCTCGTCTGATATTTTTGCCTTCCTGTGACATCGGGTGCTGTAGGTGTCCTGGAGGGCAGGCAGTGTGCCACATGTGATGTGTTGGGCAGACCACAGAACCCTCTGGAGAGCCCTGCGGTTGCGGGCGGTGCAGTTGCCGTACCAGGCGGTGATGCAGCCCGACAGGATGCTCTCAATTGTGCATCTGTAAAAGTTTGTGAGGGTTTTAGGTGCTAAGCCGAATTTCTTCAGCCTCCTGAAGTTGAAGAGGCTCTGTTGCGCCTTCTTCACCACACTGTCTACGTGGGTGGACCATTTCAGTTTGTCGGTGATGTGTATGCCAAGGAACTTGAAGCTTTCCACCTTCTCCACTGCGGTCCCGCCGATGTGGATAGGGGGGTACACCCTCTGCTCTTTCCTGAAGTCCACAATCATCTCCTTTGTTTTGTTGATGTTGAGTGAGAGGTTATTTTCCTGGCACCACACTCCCAGAGCCCTCACATCCTCCCTGTAGGCGGTCTCGTCATTGTTGGTAATCAAGCCTACTACTGTTGTGTCGTCTGCAAACTTGATGATTGAGTTGGAGGCGTGCTTAGCCACACAGTCATGGGTGAACAGGGAGTACAGGAGGGGGCTGAGCACGCGCCCTTGTGGAGCCCCTGTGTTGAGGATCAGCGAAGTGGAGGTGTTGTTTCCTACCTTCACCACCTGGGGGCAGCCCGCCAGGAAGTCCATGACCCTGTTGAACAGGGTGCGTCGGTGACACAAGCGGGTGAAGAAGGTGTTTAGCTTGTCCGGGAGCAGGACGTCGGTGTCCGCAATGTGGCTGGTTTTCCCTTTGTAATCCGTTATTGTCTGTAGACCCTGCCACATACAGTCATGGTCAAAAGTTTTGAGAATGACACAAATATTAATTTTCACAAAGTCTGCTGCCTCGGTTTTTCATGATGGCAATTTGCATATACTCCAGAATGTTATGAAGAGTGATCAGATGAATTGCAATTACTTGCAAAGTCCCTCTTTGCCATGAAAATGAACATAATCCCCCAAAAACATTTCCACTGCATTTCAGCCCTGCCACAAAAGGACCAGCTGACATCATGTCAGTGATTCTCTCGTTAACACAGGTGAGAGTGTTGACGAGGACAAGGCTGGAGATCACTCTGTCATGCTGATTGAGTTAGAATAACAGACTGGAAGCTTTAAAAGGAGGGTGGTGCTTGAAATCATTGTTCTTCCTCTGTTAACCATGGTTGCCTACAAAGAAACACATGCCGTCATCTTTGCTTTGCACAAAAAGGGCTTCACAGGCAAGGATATTGCTGCTAATAAGATTGCACCTAAATCAACCATTTATCTGATCATCAAGAACTTCAAGGAGAGAGGTTCAATTGTTGTCAAGAAGGCTTCAGGGCGCCCAAGAAAGTCCAGCAAGCGCCAGGACTGTCTCCTAAATTTGATTCAGCTGCGGGATCGTGGCACCACCAGTACAGAGCTTGCTCAGGAATGGCAGCAGGCAGGTGTGAGTGCATCTGCACGCACAGTGAGGCGAAGACTTTTGGAGGATGGCCTGGTGTCAAGAAGGGCAGCGAGGAAGCCACTTCTCTCCAGGAAAAACATCAGGGACAGACTGATATTCTGCAAAAGGTACAGGGATTAGACTGCTGAGGACTGGGGTAAAGTCATTTGCTCTGATGAATCCCCTTTCCGATTGTTTGGGGCATCCGAAAAAAGGTGAGCGCTACCATCAGTCCTGTGTCATGCCAACAGTAAAACATCCTGAGACCATTCATGTGTGGGGTTGCTTCTCAGCCAAGGGAGTGGGCTCACTCACCATTTTGCCTAAGAACACAGCCATGAATAAAGAATGGCACCAACACATCCTCCGATAGCAACTTCTCCCAACCATCCAAGAACAGTTTGGTGACGAACAATACCTTTTCCAACATGATGGTGCACCTTGCCAAAAGGCAAAAGTGATAACTAAGTGGCTCTGGGAACAAAACATCGACATTTTGGGTCCATGGCCAGGAAACTCCCCAGACCTTAATCCCATTGAGAACTTGTGGTCAATCCTCAAGAGGCGGGTGGACAAACAAACACCCACAAATTCTGACAAACTCCCATTGATTATGCAAGAATGGGCTGCCATCAGTCAGGATGTGGCCCAGAAGTTAATTGACAGCATGCCAGGACGGATTGCAGAGGTCTTGAAAAAGAAGGGTCAACACTGCAAATATTGACTCTTTGCATAAACTTAATGTAATTGTCAATAAAAGCCTTTGACACTTATGGAATGCTTGTAATTATACTTCAGTAAACCATAGTAACATCTGACAAAAATATCTAAAAACACTGAAGCAATAAACTTTATGAAGACCAATACTTGTGTCATTCTCAAAACTTTTGACCACGACTTTACGTCTCGTGTCTGAGCCGTTGAATTACGACTCCACTTTGTCTCTGTACTGACGTTTTGCCTGTTTGATTGCCTTACGGAGGGAATAACTACACTGTTTGTATTCTGCCATATTCCCAGTAACCTTGCCATGGTTAAATGCGGTGGTTTGCGCTTTCAGTTTTGCGCGAATGCTGCCGTCTATCCACGGTTTCTGGTTTGGGTAGGTTTTAATAGTCACAGTGGGAACAACGTCCCCTATACACTTCCTGATTAACTCAGTCACCGTGTCCGTGTACACGTCAATGTTACAACACTGCCCTTTATGACAAAAAAAGCTATGTACCTGACTCACTTTTCAAAGATTCCTAGAAATGTACATGTTTTGTGCTCTTGTAGTCAGCAATAGAGGATTGCTTCCTACAAACGATCTATAACTGGGCTAATAACTCACTAACTAGGAAAGGATATGAACAAAATGTGCACATGTGGCTACATGCAGCTCTCGTTTTGATCTCAAAACAAGCGCATCTACTCACGACCGCTCATGCTGTAAACACAGTCCAGTTCAAAGTAAATGGCACAGATCCATATACGGTAATGGTCTATTTACATATAGGCCTGCCGCAGCTCTGATTGGTTTTGCCGCACAGGTCTGTGTAGAGTATGGGCTGAGTAGTGCGTGTCAATGCAATAGAATCCTACTCCGATGCGTTCTGCCTACAACAATATCTGTTGCATAGTTTTTGTTTCGGTATGTTGCATTGAAAGTGGCGAACATTGTGTTGATTCGATCACAATTGCCACAGTAAAGGGAAACGTTGGTAGTGTTAACAGGGAAAACTCTAGAACGGTGGTCACCAACCCTTTCTGAGTCGATCACTTTCTGAATCTAAATGCAAGCCGAGATCTACCGCTCAGATTTGAAAAAGTAAGACTATACATTAGCCAATTAAAAACAGTCCTGTAGCAATGAGGATTGTGCAGTAAGCTATAGGCCCAATACATTGTCACTGCATATTGGCTTTGCTTGAATTGCCCTGCCAATGCAATTTTTTTGTTTGGGCAAGTATGATCACACCGGTGATAGATCCGTTGTTGTAAAACATGTGAGGCACATCCGAGTGAGCATACATTTAAATAATGAGCTTTTTATTTTACTGGGCTGATGGTTCCTGCATCTGATGGTCAGTCTCAGCGGTGGGAGAGAGCAGCAGACTGACGGTCCGCCTCACAACATCCCTCCGCTCTCCCTTTCCTCCACTGACACTGACCAAAAAGGGACACCGTCTTCCAGCTGATGGGGAAACTCGAGTCGCACCGCATTATTTCTGCCTCATGCACAAATTCATGTTGTTACTCCTATGAACAGAGAAAGTGAAATATTCCTCGATATTAAAAAATTCCGCTAATAATAACAACAACGCAAGCCTATAAAAATACACTTTCCTACTCATTCATTACTGCTGCACTGCTTGATGTAGCGCTGAGTGGAAATACGAAGAACGTGCATTTTACGGCTTATAAAAGTGTTGAATACAAAGTGTTGACAGTGCTGAGTAAGAACTTAAACATGAACTCACTCATACAAACAGCAGCTCTTTGCTGTATTCGTTGACAGTCTCTCTCATGGTTTTAAACGTTTTGAAATCTCACAGTATCAACTTTGCTGTAGCTTTCTTTTATGCCTGCTACGTTACTGCAGACAAGGTCATCTGAGCCATCTGATTGGCCAGCGGTAGTCCTATAGTGCACTTGATTTGCTCTCTGGGCCCGCCGGGAAGGAAGAGTTTGTACTTTCAGACACATGAAATGGTTCAAAATGGCAACAGTTTGCCTACCCGGCACGCAGGGCAGTTGAATCGGGTGCACCTACTGCCAACAGCCCAAGACTAATAAAATAAAATAGGAACACAATACTTTTTTTTTTTTTTTTTTTACAGAAATGTTTGGCGTTAGGCCTCCCGAGTGGCGCAGCGGTCTAAGGCAATGCATCGCAGTGCTAGAGGCGTCACTACAGATCTGGGTTCGATCCCGGGCTGTGTCGCAGCCGGACGCGACCAGGAGACCCATGAGACGGCGCACAATTGGCCCAGCATCGTCCGGGTTAGGGTAGTGTTTGGCCGTCTGGGATGTCCTTGTCCCATCGCGCTCTAGCGACTCCTTGTGACTTCAGGTCGCCAGCTGTACGGTGTTTCCTCCGACACATTGGTGCTTCTGGGTTAAGCGAGCAGTGTGTCAAGAAGCAGTGCGGCTTGGCGGGTCGTGTTTCGGAGGACGCATGGCCCTCGACCATCGCCTCTCCCGAGTCCGTAGGGGAGTTGCAGCGATGGGACAAGACTGTAATTACCACTAGGATAAAAAAGGAATAATAATGAAGACTAATGTTCCACCAGTCGTTGAGTGATGTTCAGACTCCTACTTCTCTTTGTGGGCTGATATTTCAGTCCCGGGCAGCTGCGAGGCAGTCTTGGGGCTACTGTGCACGCGCGTAGCTTAGAGGGAACATTGGATGTAATGTCTCTCCAAGTCAATATGCCGTTTCTGCCAGGTCATCCCTGATATGTGTGTGTGTGATCCGTTTTGGTCTGAGTTTCCCATGTCCAAGCGTAATCTGTGTGTTGGACATGAGTATGCTGTGCATGTAATTCTGTAATTATCTGTGCGTGTCTGTCATTACATAAGCTCGGTAACCCTCCCCGTTCTCTCTTCCCCCTCTCTTCCCCTCTCTTCCCCCTTGCTCTCTCAGTGGATCAGCCAGGGTCAAGCAGTGTATGCAGAGGCCCTGTGGGACCATGTGACAATGGAGGAGCAGGAGCTGGCGTTCAAGGCAGGGGATGTGATCCGGGTGCTGGAGGCCCCTCACAAGGACTGGTGGTGGGGCATGGGGGCAGACAGGGAGGCCTGGTTCCCTTCCAGCTTCGTCAGGGTAAGACAACACTGAGTCAACACATTTGTGCACTAGCCTTGTTGCATTGAAAAGAAAGAAAAATCAATCAAATTCAATTATTTAAGTTTTTATTGATATTTTTTCACAACAACAAGATACAAACAAGTCAGGTCATGAAGCAAACAGAGGTCACAAACAAAACAACTTCTGCACAAGACACCATAGTTGGGTCATTGAAATGATCAGCTCAGCTCAGGAAATACAAGAAAATACAAGAGGCTTCCATGTTTTGTCTTAAGTAGACATTCTGTATAATTGATGTTTACGCTAGACCCTGCCAGCCAAAGGCCCTGAAACTGTCTTGGATCCAACCAAGCACCTTAGTAGTGTGTGTTCAAGGGTAGTGTGGGTTCAGAGGTTTCGGTGGTTTCCCTGGTGACTTGCGTTGATTTACAGTTGCATCTTAATTAGGGAAGCTATGGTGAAGCCAGTTGATTGACAGGGGGGGTGACCGCTTGGTAATTGCCCCTGTTGGTGATTGTTGATGACGGACAGGGGCTTGTTAACCATACATGGTGTTTTTTTGTTTGTTTATTGTTTATTAAAATTGTATTTATTTATTAAAGGGTAGATCAGCTTTAATATTGCAGATATATTGTAACTTCCATCAATGTAATTGTCTGCATCACTTCCAATCCCCCATATGGTTTTTTTCTCGCAAATATATATCTCTATAGATATCTCTCTCTCTATATATATATATATACAGTGGGGAAAAAAAGTATTTAGTCAGCCACCAATTGTGCAAGTTCTCCCACTTAAAAAAATGAGAGAGGCCTGTAATTTTCATCATAGGTACACGTCAACTATGACAGACAAAATGAGAAAAAGAATTCCAGAAAATCACATTGTAGGATTTTTTATGAATTTATTTGCAAATTATGGTGGAAAATAAGTATTTGGTCAATAACAAAAGTTTCTCAATACTTTGTTATATACCCTTTGTTGGCAATGACACAGGTCAAACGTTTTCTGTAAGTCTTCACAAGGTTTTCACACACTGTTGCTGGTATTTTGGCTCATTCCTCCATGCAGATCTCCTCTAGAGCAGTGATGTTTTGGGGCTGTCGCTGGGCAACACGGACTTTCAACTCCCTCCAAAGATTTTCTATGGGGTTGAGATCTGGAGACTGGCTAGGCCACTCCAGGACCTTGAAATGCTTCTTACGAAGCCACTTCTTCGTTGCCCGGGCGGTGTGTTTGGGATCATTGTCATGCTGAAAGACCCAGCCACGTTTCATCTTCAATGCCCTTGCTGATGGAAGGAGGTTTTCACTCAAAATCTCACGATACATGGCCCCATTCATTCTTTCCTTTACACGGATCAGTCGTCCTGGTCCCTTTGCAGAAAAACATTCCCAAAGCATGATGTTTCCACCCCCATGCTTCACAGTAGGTATGGTGTTCTTTGGATGCAACTCAGCATTCTTTGTCCTCCAAACACGACGAGTTGAGTTTTTACCAAAAAGTTCTATTTTGGTTTCATCTGACCATATGACATTCTCCCAATCCTCTTCTGGATCATCCAAATGCACTCTAGCAAACTTCAGACGGGCCTGGACATGTACTGGCTTAAGCAGGGGGACACGTCTGGCACTGCAGGATTTCAGTCCCTGGCTGCGTAGTGTGTTACTGATGGTAGGCTTTGTTACTTTTGTCCCAGCTCTCTGCAGGTCATTCACTAGGTCCCCCCGTGTGGTTCTGGGATTTTTGCTCACCGTTCTTGTGATCATTTTGACCCCACGGGGTGAGATCTTGCGTGGAGCTCCAGATCGAGGGAGATTATCAGTGGTCTTGTATGTCTTCCATTTCCTAATAATTGCTCCCAAAGTTGATTTCTTCAAACCAAGCTGCTTACCTATTGCAGATTCAGTCTTCCCAGCCTAGTGCAGGTCTACAATTTTGTTTCTGGTGTCATTTGACAGCTCTTTGGTCTTGGCCATAGTGGAGTTTGGAGTGTGACTGTTTGAGGTTGTGGACAGGTGTCTTTTATACTGATAACAAGTTCAAACAGGTGCCATTAATACAGGTAACGAGTGGAGGACAGAGGAGACACTTAAAGAAGAAGTTACAGGTCTGTGAGAGCCAGAAATCTTGCTTGTTTGTAGGTGACCAAATACTTATTTTCCACCATCATTTGCAAATAAATTCATTAAAAATCCTACAATGTGATTTTCTGGAGAATTTTTTTTCTCAATTTGTCTGTCATAGTTGACGTGTACCTATGATGAAAATTACAGGCCTCTCTCATCTTTTTAAGTGGGAGAACATGCACAATTGGTGGCTGACTAAATACTTTTTTTCCCCACTGTATATATATATATATATATATATATATATATACACAGTGAGGGGAAAAAAAGTATTTGATCCCCTGCTGATTTTGTACGTTTGCCCACTGATATAATATCTATAATTTTAATGGTAGGTTTATTTGAACAGTGAGAGACAGAATAACAACAAAAAAATCCAGAATAACGCATGTCAAAAATGTTATAAATTTGATTTGCATTTTAATGAGGGAAATAAGTATTTGACCCCTCTGCAAAACATGACTTAGTACTTGGTGGCAAAACCCTTGTTGGCAATCACAGAGGTCAGACGTTTCTTGTAGTTGCCCACCAGGTTTGCACACATCTCAGGAGGGATTTTGTCCCACTCCTCTTTGCAGATCTTCTCCAAGTCATTAAGGTTTTGAGGCTGACGTTTGGCAACTCGAACCTTCAGCTCCCTCCACAGATTTTCAATGGGATTAAGGTCTGGAGACTGGCTAGGCCACTCCAGGACCTTAATGTGCTTCTTATTGAGCCACTCCTTTGTTGCCTTGGCCGTGTGTTTTGAGTCATTGTCATGCTGGAATACCCATATACGACCCATTTTCAATGCCCTGGCTGAGGGAAGGAGGTTCTCACCCAAGATTTGAAGGTACATGGCCCTGTCCATCGTCCCTTTGATGCTGTGAAGTTGTCCTGCCCCCTTAGCAGAAAAACACCCCCAAAGCATAATGTTTCCACCTCCATGTTTGATGGTGTTCTTGGGGACATACGCAGCATTCTTCCTCCTCCAAACACGGCGAGTTGATGCCAAAGAGCTCCATTTTGGCCTCATCTGACCACATCACCCAGTTCTCCTCTGAATCATTCAGATGTTCATTGGCAAACTTCAGACGGGCATGTATATGTGCTTTTTGAGCAGGGGGACCTTGCGGGCGCTGCAGGATTTCAGTCCTTCACGGCGTAGTGTGTTACCAATTGTTTTCTTGGTGACTATGGTCCCAGCTGCCTTGAGATCATTGACAAGATCCTCCCGTGTGGTTCTGGGCTGATTCCTCACCGAGGTGAGATCTTGCATGGAGCCCCAGGCCGAGGGAGATTGACAGTTATTTTGTGTTCCTTCCATTTGCGAATAATCGCACCAACTGTTGTCACCTTCTCACCAAGCTGCTTGGCGATGGTCTTGTAGCCCATTCCAGCCTTGTGTAGGTCTACAATCTTGTCCCTGACATCCTTGGAGAGCTCTTTGGTCTTGGCCATGGTGGAGAGTTTGGAATCTGATTTATTGATTGCTTCTGTGGACAGGTGTCTTTTATACAGGTAACAAGCTGAGATTAGGAGCACTCCCTTTAAGAGTGTGCTCCTAATCTCAGCTCGTTACCTGTATAAAAGACACCTGGGAGCCAGAAATCTTTCTGATTGAGAGGGGGTCAAATACTTATTTCCCTCATTAAAATGCAAATCAATTTATAACATTTTTTACATGCATTTTTCTGTTTTTTTTGTTGTTATTCTGTCTCTCACTGTTCAAATTAACCTACAATTAAAATTATAGACTGATCATTTCTTTGTCAGTGGCCAAACGTACAAAATCAGCAGGGGATCAAATTCTTTTTTCCCTCACTGTGTATATGTATACATATATATATATATATATATATATATATATATATATACATACATACATACATACATACATACATACATACATACATACATACATACATACATACATACATACATACATACATACATATCCTTAAAAAATATATATTTTTCTTTATTACTTTCCAACCCCACCGCCCCTTCCCCAATTGGAGCAAACTAGTGAACAACAACGCCTAGGCCTCTACTTCCAGCCTATCCACACTACACACATCTTATGGACACAGCCAACATGGTGTTTCTAATGTTACCATAGGAATGTAGGTTGGGTTAACTGCATTTAATTTACAGGTGCTAGTATAGGCGAACTGTGCGTGACTGTGGTTCACCTGGTAATATGTGTGTGTGTGTGCGTGCGTGTGTGTGTGTGTGTGTGTGATTTGACAGGTGCGTGTGAATCAGGAGGAGGACTCTGGAGCGGAGAGTGTAGGGAGTTGTGCTCTGGACCAGGAGGACCCACACACTGCCCCCCGGGACACACACAGCGCCGAGCACCGAGACCAGATGAGGACCAATGTGGTCAAAGAGATCATGAACACGGAACGCATCTACATCAAACACCTCCGGGACATCTGTGAGGTGGGTGGAGGCTCGACCATAAACGTTAACCGACCCTAACCCATGTCTCCCCTCCTCCATCGTCACTGACATTACAACTAGGGTAGAATTTCTATTGGTTTTGCTCTCCTCCTCCTGCTCTCCTCCGTCCTCTCCTTGCCTCTTTTTGAAAAAGGTCAAAGGTAATCGAGGAGCGGAGGAGAGGAAATGTGGAAACTAATGCGCTTGTATGAAATTAAACTCTCCCTCTCCACTCACGCGTCACCCGGCAAATGATCCACTTCGCTGATCCTCAACACTGGGGCTCCACAAGGGTGCATGCTCAGCCCCCTGCTGTACTCCCTGTTCATCCATGACTGCGTGGCCACGCACGCCTCCAACTCAATCATCAAGTTTACAGACGACACAACAGTAGTAGGCTTGATTACCAACAATGACGAGACCGCCTACAGGGAGGAGGTGAGGGCTCTGGGAGTGTGGTGCCAGGAAAATAACCTCTCACTCAACGTCAACAAAACAAAGGAGATGATCGTGGACTTCAGGAAACAGCAGAGGGTGCACCCCCCCTATCCACATCGACGGGACCGCAGAAGGTGGAAAGCTTCAAGTTCCTTGGCGTACACATCACTAGCAAACTTAAATGGTCCACCTACGCAGACAGTGTCGTGAAGAAGGCGCAACAGAGCATCTTCAACCTCAGGAGGCTGAAGAGATTTGTCTTGGCACCTAAAACCCTCACAAACTTTTACAGATGCACAATTGAGAGCATCCTGTCGGGCTGTATCACCGCCTGGTACGGCAACTGCACCGCCCGCAACCGCAGGGCTCTCCAGAGGGTGGTGCGGTCTGCCGAACGCATTACCGGGAACAAACTACCCGCCCTCCAGGACACCTACAGCACCCGATGTCACAGGAAGGCCAAAAAGATAATCAAGGACATCAACCACCCGAGCCACTGCCTGTTCACCCCGCTATCATCCAGAAGGCGAGGTCAGTACAGGTGCATCAAAGCTGGGACCGAGAGAATGAAAAACAGCTTCTATCTCAAGGCCATCAGGCTGTTAAATAGCCATCACTAGCACATTAGAGGTTGCTGCTGCCTATTGAAATCACTGGCCACTTTAAGAAATAGAACACTAGTCACTTTAATAATGTTGACATATCTTGCATTACTCATCTCATATGTATATACTGTATTCTATAATATTCTACTGTATCTTAGTCCATGCCGCTCTGTCATTGCTTGTCCATATATGTATTTTATAGATAAAAGGATAAGTAGCATATAATTTTATATGTATGCATGCTCTTCTCCTCTGAGAACACCTGATTCAAAGGAGGCATGGCACTTCCGCGCTACCTGCCGCAAGGACACTCTTGTGCGTCCTCTGTCGAAGTTGGAAATGGAGGAGAGGAGCAGATGCCTTTGTTTTCACCTACTAACCATTTGACACTCTTCTCGACCACTTATCAGTTTCCGGGTCACGGAGGAGAGGAGGACAGAGGAGTCAAGGAGAGAAGAGGACTGACTTTTATTCAAATGAGAATCTCCCTAGTGCTCTGGATCTCCACCAGCTTCATTGGCTCTCCCCCTGCTGGTCAAACCTTGCATTGACCACAACTCAATAGTAACGGTTATTCCTTGTTACAACTTAAACATCTGACTATGTCTAATGCTTTTCCCAGGGCTATATCCGTCAGTGTCGTAAAAACCCGGGCATGTTCACTGAGCTGCAGCTGAAGACCATTTTCAGTAACATCGAGGACATCTATAAGTTCCAGAGACAGTTCCTCAAAGACCTGGAGAAGAAGTACAACACAGACCAGCCTCACCTCAGTGAGATAGGAGCCTGTTTCCTCTCACAGGTACTTCTACCTTTCTACACACACAGTCACACACATACACAGATTGTATTACTACATACAGCATTTTTCCAAAACATTTTTCCTGTAAACATTTCACTGTATACATTTCAAAACAGTCACATCCCTATTTGGTAAGGTTTTATTTAACTCTCTTGCCCCCTCTCTCCCTCCTTTTTTCCCTCTCCCCTCTCTGTATCCCCCCTCTCTCTCTCTCAGGGGGAGGGTTTCTCCATCTACTCTGAGTACTGTAACACCCACCCTGCAGCGTGTGGGGAGCTGCAGCGCCTCATGAAGCTGGGCAGGTACAAGCACTTCTTTGAGGCCTGCCGGCTGCTGCAGCAGATGATTGACATCTCCATCGCTGGCTTCCTGCTCACGCCCGTCCAGAAGATCTGCAAGTACCCCCTGCAGCTGAGAGAGCTGCTCAAATACACCCCCAAAGACCACAGGTAAGTCACAACACACACACACTTTACAAACTTCACAACATATACTGTACCCACACATGCACCTATACACACACCTATACACACACACACGGATACACACACAAACCTTTTCACACTCTCAAATGCTGTTGATGTTGTGTGCTGTAGTGACTACGGTAGAGTGAGTGATGCGTACGAGGCGATGAAGAACGTGGCGAGCCTCATCAATGAGGGGAAGAGGCGGCTGGAGAGTGTTGACGCCATCGCTCACTGGCAGGTGGCCATCCTACACTGGGAGGTGAGAGAATCTTCTACTTGTGTTATTACTGTAGCAGAAAGATGTTATACCTATGCTATTGCCATCGTAGCAGGAACTCATGTTGTCTACCTGGCTCAAAGTAATGCACTGAGTGGGGTGATTTGAGATGTAGCTAGTGGATCAATCAATGATCTAACAATGACTGCAACTCAACCTAATGAATGTCTCTCTGTCATTGTTCCTTTCAGGGAGCAGACGTGTTGGAGCGCAGCTCGGAGCTGATCCACTCTGGAGAGCTGACCCGGATCACCTGGCAGGGCAACAAGACACAGCAGCGCAGCTTCTTCCTGTTTGACCACCAGCTGGTGTTCTGTAAGAAGGACGTACTGCGCCGCGACCTGCTGCACTACCGCGGCCGCCTGGACATGGACCACACGGAGGTCCTGGAGATGCCCGACGGCAGGGACCCTGAGCTGGGCATCTCGCTGAAGAACGCCCTGCGGCTCCGCAACAGCTCCACCCTGGAGACCCTGTGTTACCTCTGCTGCAGAAAGCCCAAGGACAGACAACGCTGGCTGCAGGCCTTCGCCAGGGAGAGACTGAGAGTACAGGAGGACCAAGAGATGGGTGAGGAGGGGTGGGATGGAGAGATGGAGGGGAAGGGAAGGAGACTAGAAGAGGGGAAAGGTGTTTCACCAGAGGAGAATGTGTAAGTGTTGAATGACATTTGATTGGCTGTTTTTTTTCTTTATTTTATTTTTAAGGAATGAAGATCAGTGAAACGCAGCGAAAACAAGCAATCTTCAATGCAAGGAAATCCAAACAAGGGAAAATGAAGAGTAAGCGTTAAATACATCATGCTTTTTTATTCTTACAGTTGCTGTGCATGTGGTATTGGATTCATTTTATGCTCACTATTGTAAAGAATGTTTTAAAAACGTTGTGTTTGTGTGTTTTGTATTTCCTCCACAGCCATTGGCTACTCTGGCACTGTCCCGCCACACCACCAGCCCCTGCATCCAATTCACCAGCGCCACGTTACCGTGCCAACCAGCGTGCCTCAGCAGCAGGTGTTCACATTGGCCGAGCCCAAGCAAAAGCCCGCCCACCTGTGGTACACCTTCACCCGACACGCCTTCTTCAGGAAATGAGGATCCACCCCCCCCTCCTCTCGCCTGTTCCTGACTCTAAATGTTCTGACCACGCCTAGAATTGTCCTAATGACTCAAAGAAAAACGTACAGTTATGGACCCACATATTTCAGGACAGTATCTGTGCACATACTACTTTGTGTAATGTGTGTTTTATCAATGTGTTTGTGTGCCTCTTAAAGTGGGTCTATATGTCTGTGTGTTTTATCAATGTGTTTGTGTGCCTCTTAAAGTGGGTCTATATGTCTGTGTGTTTTATCAATGTGTTTGTGTGCCTCTTAAAGTGGGTCTATATGTCTGTGTGTTTTGTTTCTGTGTTATATGTGCATTATTTTTATATCTGTGTTTTTATTTGTCTATTAAAATCAGTGCCTGGACTTGTTAATATACATACAGCCCAGAAGTGTTAATATACATACAGACGGACTCCCTCCATGTTGCTGGTGTGGTGAAGATGCTGCTTTTGTAGTCTGAGATTCCTTTATACACAACCGCCCAGCAGAAACCTGTATTATAGTAATTATGGCAATGATGTACTGCACGTTCAGATTTTAAATTACCAGTCGAATACTTACCTGCTACCTTGGTTTTAGTTTATTTCTCTGAGGCTGGACCCTGTTGGAGTTAGACTGGTAGTGAAAGTACAACACACACACACAGGTTTACACACGCACTAACTCTGTTAAAACACTGTTGTAAATAAACTCTTGTACCAAATGCAAGTGATGTAACTCTGTCATTTTCTTGGTTGGTTGTGAGAAAACGTGCCTTGTTTTGAAAATGATCTCCAAGTGGAATAGAATTCTATCTGATCCCACCAGACAAATGATCAGACTTTATTTTCAAGGTAGGTCCCCCCAAAAAAAACTCAGTCCGGCTTTCAACTTAATCTTGAAAGTTGTAATAGTCGAATGCACTAGTAGAATCCGCTTGTCATGTCAGTCATTGCATACCTTAGAGAGCTATTTATAACTTGTCAGAAATGTCCAGATCAACTAGCCCATGTCGGCTAATGTTTTTTAGCTATGAGATGTTCCACAATGCTAGAAGGGGGGGCCTGAGTGGAAAAGTTTGATCCTGTTTTGTAATAAACGCCTCTGGTGCTTAGGTTACTGTGGAAATGTAACATACACTTACAGTTGAAGTCGGAAGTTTACATCAACTTAGGTTGGAGTCATTAAAACTTGTTTTTCAACCACTCTATAAATGTCTTGTTAACAAACTGTAGTTTTGGCAAGTCGGTTAGGACATCTACTTTGTGCATGACACAAGTAATTTTTCCAACAATTGTTTACAATTCTAGTGGGTCAGAAGTTTACATACACTAAGTTGACTGTGCCTTTAAACAGCTTGGGAAATTCCAGAAAATTATGCCATGGCTTTAGAAGCTTCTGATAGGCTAATTAACATAATTTGAGTCAATTGGAGGTATACCTGTCGATGTACACTGCTCAAAAAAATAAAGGGAACACTTAAACAACACAATGTAACTCCAAGTCAATCGCACTTCTGTGAAATCAAACTGTCCACTTAGGAAGCAACACTGATTGACAATAAATTTCACATGCTGTTGTGCAAATGGAATAGACAACAGGTGGAAATTATAGGCAATTAGCAAGACACCCCCAATAAAGGACTGGTTTTGCAGGTGGTGACCAGACCACTTCTCAATTCCTATGCTTCCTGGCTAATGTTTTGGTCACTTTTGAATGCTGGCGGTGCTTTCACTCTAGTGGTAGCATGAGACAGAGTCTACAACCCACGCAAGTGGCTCAGGTAGTGCAGCTCATCCAGGATGGCACATCAATGCGAGCTGTGCCAAGAAGGTTTGCTGTGTCTGTCAGCGTAGTGTCCAGAGCATGGAGGCGCTACCAGGAGACAGGCCAGTACATCAGGAGACGTGGAGGAGGCCGTAGGAGGGCAACAACCCAGCAGCAGGACTGCTACCTCCGCCTTTGTTTAAGGAGGAGCAGGAGGAGCACTGCCAGAGCCCTGCAAAATGACCTCCAGCAGGCCACAAATGTGCATGTGTCTGCTCAAACGGTCAGAAACAGACTCCATGAGGGTGGTATAAGGGCCTGACGTCCACAGGTGGGGGTTGTGCTTACAGCCCAACACCGTGCAGAACGTTTGGCATTTGCCAGAGAACACCAAGATTGGCAAATTCGCCACTGGCACCCTGTGCTCTTCACAGATGAAAGCAGGTTCACACTGAGCACATGTGACAGACGTGACAGAGTCTGGAGACGCCGTGGAGAACGTTCTGCTGCCTGCAACATCCTCCAGCATGACCGGTTTGGCGGTGGGTCAGTCATGGTGTGGGGTGGCATTTCTTTGGGGGGCCGCACAGCCCTCCATGTGCTCGCCAGAGGTAGCCTGACTGCCATTAGGTACCGAGATGAGATCCTCAGACCCCTTGTGAGACCATATGCTGGTGCGGTTGGCCCTGGGTTCCTCCTAATGCAAGACAATGCTAGACCTCATGTGGCTGGAGTGTGTCAGCAGTTCCTGCAAGAGGAAGGCATTGATGCTATGGACTGGCCCGCCTGTTCCCCAGACCTGAATCCAATTGAGCACATCTGGGACATCATGTCTCGCTCCATCCACCAACGCCACGTTGCACCACAGACTGTCCAGGAGTTGGCGGATGCTTTAGTCCAGGTCTGGGAGGAGATCCCTCAGGAGACCATCCGCCACCTCATCAGGAGCATGCCCAGGCGTTGTAGGGAGGTCATACAGGCACGTAGAGGCCACACACACTACTGAGCCTCATTTTGACTTGTTTTAAGGACATTACATCAAAGTTGGATCAGCCTGTAGTGTGGTTTTCCACTTTAATTTTGAGGGTGACTCCAAATCCAGACGTCCATGGGTTGATAAATTTGATTTCCATTGATAATTTTTGTGTGATTTAGTTGTCAGCACATTCAACTATGTAAAGAAAAAAGTATTTAATACGATTATTTCATTCATTCAGATCTAGGATGTGTTATTTTAGTGTTCCCTTAATTTTTTTGAGCAGTGTATTTCAAGGCCTACCTTCAAACTCAGTGCCTCTTTGCTTGACAACATGGGAAAATCAAAAGAAATCAGCCGAGACCTCAGAAAAAAATTGTAGACCTCCTCAAGTCTGGTTCATCCTTGGGAGCAATTTCCAAACGCCTGAAGGTACCACGTTCATCTGTACAAATAATCGTACGCAAGTATAAACACCATGGGACCACGCAGCTGTCATACCGCTCAGGAAGGAGACTCCTAGAGATGAATGTACTTTGGTGCGAAAAGTGCAAATCAATCCCAGAACAACAGCAAAGGACCTTGTGAAGATGCTGGAGGAAACAGGTACAAAAGTATTTGATCCCCTGCTGATTTTGTACGTTTGCCCACTGACAAAGACATGATCAGTCTATAATTTTAATGGTAGGTTTATTTGAACAGTGAGAGACAGAATAACAACAACAAAAATCCAGAAAAACGCATGTCAAAAATGTTATAAATTGATTTGCATTTTAATGAGGGAAATAAGTATTTGACCCCTCTGCAAAACATGACTTAGTACTTGGTGGCAAAACCCTTGTTGGCAATCACAGAGGTCAGACGTTTCTTGTAGTTGGCCACCAGGTTTGCACACATCTCAGGAGGGATTTTGTTCCACTCCTCTTTGCAGATCTTCTCCAAGTCAGTAAGGTTTCGAGGCTGATGTTTGGCAACTCGAACCTTCAGCTCCCTCCACAGATTTTCTATGGGATTAAGGTCTGGAGACTGGCTAGGCCACTCCAGGACCTTAATGTGCTTCTTCTTGAGCCACTCCTTTGTTGCCTTGGCCGTGTGTTTTGGGTCATTGTCATGCTGGAATACCCATCCACGACCCATTTTCAATGCCCTGGCTGAGGGAAGGAGGTTCTCACCCAAGATTTGACGGTACATGGCCCCATCCATCGTCCCTTTGATGCGGTGAAGTTGTCCTGTCCCCTTAGCAGAAAAACACCCCCAAAGCATAATGTTTCCACCTCCATGTTTGACGGTGGGGATGGTGTTCTTGGGGTCATAGGCAGCATTCCTCCTCCTCCAAACATGGCGAGTTGAGTTGATGCCAAAGAGCTCCATTTTGGTCTCATCTGACTACAACACTTTCACCCAGTTCTCCTCTGAATCATTCAGATGTTCATTGGCAAACTTCAGACAGGCATGTATATGTGCTTTCTTGAGCAGGGGGACCTTGCGGGTGCTGCAGGATTTCAGTCCTTCATGGCGTAGTGTGTTACCAATTGTTTTCTTGGTGACTATGGTCCCAGCTGCCTTGAGATCATTGACAAGATCCTCCCGTGTAGTTCTGGGCTGATTCCTCACCGTTCTCATGATCATTGCAACTCCACGAGGTGAGATCTTGCATGGAGCCCCAGGCAGAGGGTGATTGACAGTTATTTTGTGTTTCTTCCATTTGCGAATAATCGCACCAACTGTTGTCACCTTCTCACCAAGCTGCTTGGCGATGGTCTTGTAGCCCATTCCAGTCTTGTTTAGGTCTACAATCTTGTCCCTGACATCCTTGGAGAGCTCTTTGGTCTTGGCCATGGTGGAGAGTTTGGAATCTGATTGATTGATTGCTTCTGTGGACAGGTGTCTTTTATACAGGTAACAAACTGAGATTAGGAGCACTCCCTTTAAGAGTGTGCTCCTAATCTCAGCTCGTTACCTGTATAAAAGACACCTGGGAGCCAGAAATCTTTGTGATTGAGAGGGGGTCAAATACTTATTTCCCTCATTAAAATGCAAATCAATTTATAACTTGTTTGACGTGTTTTTCTGGATTTTTTTGTTGTTATTCTGTCTCTCACTGTTCAAATAAACCTACCATTAAAATTATAGACTGATAATTTCTTTGTCAGTGGGCAAACGTACAAAATCAGCAGGGGATCAAATACTTTTTTCCCTCACTGTATCAGGAAGTGTATAGGTGATGTTGTGCCCACTGTGACTATTAAAACCTACCCTAACCAGAAACCGTGGATAGATGGCAGCATTCGCGCTAATCTGAAAGCGCGAACCACTGCATTCAACCATGGCAAGGTGACTGGGAATATGGCAGAATACAAACAGTGTAGCTACTCACTCCGCAAGGCAATTAAACTGGCAAAACATCAGTATAGAGACAAAGTGGAGTCTCAATTCAATGGCTCAGACATGAGACGTATGCGGCAGGGTC